CCGTCCCGGCGCCGCGTTGATGGCCCTGCTCCCGCGGCCGGCGCTCGCTCTCCTCCTCCTGGTCCTGCCCGCCGTGCTCAGGTGCCAGGAGCAGGCCCAGCCCACCGACTGGAGGGCCACCCTGAAGACTATCCGGAACGGCGTTCACAAGATCGACACGTACCTGAACGCCGCCTTGGACCTCCTGGGAGGCGAGGACGGGCTCTGCCAGTATAAGTGCAGTGACGGTGAGCGGGTACCCGGCCTTCCGAGGCCCGCGCCTGCAGGGCTGCTGCTGGGGGGTTGAACGGAAGGCGTGGAGTGTGAGGTGCAAGGCAGACCTTCACTCTGTCATCTGGTCGTGGAGACACGTAACCATTGCTAGAATCTTGCCATTCTTGTGATTGAGCAACCAACTTGGTTACAAGTTGCACCTGTATTGTTAGAATGTGAGAGGTCGCCCGAGTATTTACTCTCCGTTCTGTTTCCATTGCTCCTAAATTATTTTTTTTGTTTGCAATTGCACGAAGTTGCCTAAGAACTTGGTGACGTACCCTTCATGGAAATAGAGTGGAATACAATGATTTTAGCGCCTTAAATAAGTAAGGCGCTAAAAGTACTGAGAATTTTAGTCATGATGGCTTAACTTTCTCAAGAATTGATTTTACTTGTTTTTATGCAAGGCTTCAGAAAGTAGATTGCGACCTTTGTACAGACTTTTGGTGTACTCTATCGAGAAAGAGTTCTGATAATTCTAGAAAATTACTCTGTCAAGACTTGACAGTAATTTTATTTCCTTGGATATCAGTGATGCCTTCTCCTCATTGTTGGTTAACATTAATAAAATTGTTTTACTTTTTCATATTTAATTTTAATTCTGTTCGAATTTGAGAACTTGTTAGGTGGCATTATTGGTCATAATAAACTCAGCATTTAGGGCAGAGATCTTTTGAAGCATTTGACTTTTTTGAATATTTAAATATTTGAATAGTTCAGATAAAGTACTTGGGCTTCCCTTTGGAAATTGAAAATGCTAAGATAATACTTGGGAGATCATGTTTCTACTAAAAGACAAATTCTGGGCCTAGTTAATTTAATGCTTGGCAGCTCAGAATAATAGGAAACTCAATGACTTTAATGGTGAAACCAGATTGTATGTAGGTGAAATTTAAAAGAAGTCTATATCATGTAAAACTCCAATGCCACCTGGTGCCTGTTGTAATTCTCAAAATAATTTCTAGTTTTATGTTAATGGAGTTAAAGAATGAACTGTATCTTATGTGCTATAAAGTTCTATATATTTCATTCCTTCTTAAATTTATGCCTAAATGCTACCACCAGTATGCAATCAGGAAGGATGTTTTTGTTCTTGTAGAGTTTGTTAGAAGGAATAAATGTTTAGAAGACAAAATGGTTGCCTTTTCTGAGGCAGATGTCATAGTTTTATTTAGTCATCCCCATTAATTAGAAAAATATTTGAGTGCCTGTTGTGTGTTAGGTGTTCTACCAACTGGAGATTCAGCAGTGAACAAAACAGACAAAATTCCATGGAGCTTACATTCTGGCAGAATGTCCATGGAGCTTACATTCTGGCAGAGAGAGACAGTCAGTAAACTAATGAACAAGTAAAATAAGCCAAATATGCAGTGTATTTATGTCTAAGATATGCCAGTGCTTCAAGAACAGTAGAGCAGAGAGAATAGCCAGGTTGGAAGGTAGTTTACTCTTTAAATAGGTTGTTCAGGGAAAGCTTCACTGATAAGATAATATTTGAGAAGAAATTGGAAAATGGAGAAGGGGGAACTCTGATGATCTAGGGGAAGAACACTCCAGGCAGAGGAACAGAACAGCAAGTGTAAAGCACCTGAGGAGAAAGGCAGTCAAGGATGATTTGGAAGGTTTTGACCTGAGCCAGAAAGATGTTGTTGCCATTAACAGAGATAGGAAAACTTGGAAGGAGCAGTCTTCATAACCTTATTATGAGTCAAGGGTTCTAGGGTTTGTTTATATTTAAAATAGCTCTGAAGTTGAATGAATACTATTCTTATTAAAAAGATTATTTTAATCTTTCCTTTTACTAAATCCTTTTTATCTTCCGCAAGCATAACTGAATTTACCATTTGAGATTTAGAACAAGGTCTCCAGCATAAAAACACAAATGAAGGTGAGAATTTAGGAAATGGTATGCTTCAGTGAGAATCCTTTTGTGGCTTGGTAAGTACTGTCTGCATAAGACTGTGGTTCCAAGCCACCAAGTTGATAATTCCAACATAATGTTCTTTAATTACTATTACTCGAGAAGTCTCCTTGGAACACTGTTTCAATCTTTCCTACATTTTGGAATGCAAGTGACCAATATCAGAACCAAACAAATAGATAAATCCAAAAGCTAGAGGAGCATGGTGTTAAGAGGTGTTTAATAGTTGCAATAAAGAGGTCAAGGGTGCTTTTTAAAAAAGACCTAATGGGCGGGCGGGAGAGGGTGGTCAGATTAAAGGGCACAGACTCCTTACATTGTTACCCTTGCTTTATAGAAAGGACTGGCATTCTGGAGACTTGCTCCCTTCTGGCCATCCTCCCTCGGGCGGGAACAAGGCTTTATTGAGAATGAAGTAACATGTAGGGGAACAAATGTGATGGTAGCTATTTTTTCTTTTTTCTCCCTGATATAAGAGAAGATTTGAGGAAAACTTTCCAATCTCCTTTGAAAAATAGAAAACAAAATTGGCTTGTAAAATGTTTTTACAGTTATGAATGTCACTAATATATTCAGTGGTTTATGTTTTAACAGGATCCCTTTGGCCGTTATACTGAGAATAAAAAGGGGTCAAAGGAGGTAGAAGAGCAAGAATGGAGGCTGAGTGACAGGTGTGGGAATTCAGACAGAAGATGGTGGTGGTTTTATCCAGGATGGTAGCAACAAAGGTAGTGAAAAGTTGAATTTTGGACATATTTTGAAGGAAGGGCCTAAAGGATTTGCCAATGGCTTGGAAGAAGGGTGTGGGTAGAGTCAAAAATAGTTCCATGTCTGATCTCAGAAGCTAAGCAGGGTTGGGCCTGGTTAGTATTTGGATGGGAGATCACCGAGGAAGACCAGGTGCTGTAGGTGTGAAAAATAAAATAAAATAAAAAGTAAGGGATTGTAAACTGACAAGGTCCTTGCAATCTGTGAGGTCAACCAAGAGTCGCCTCGCCTATAAATGAATGAATGAATGAATGAATGAACTGACAAGGTCCTTGCAATCTGTGAGGTCAACCAAGGGTCGCCTCACCTATAAATAAATGAATGAATGAACGAACGAAGGAATAAAATATATCTAGGCAATCTGTGAGGTCAACCAAGGGTCGCCTCGCCTATAAATAAATGAATGAATGAACGAACGAATAAAATATATCTATTTTTAAAAAATAGTTCCAAAGTTTTTGGCTTGAATAATTGGAAGGATGGAGCATGGGGAAAACCATGGAAAAAACAGTTTTGGGGTCATTAGGAAAAATAATAGCATATTTGTATGCTTTTGAGAATAATTCAGTAGAGAGTAAAAACACTGATGAAAGCGAGGAGGGAGAATTATTGGAGTCATGTCCTTAGGTAAGTAAGAAGAGTGGGTTCTAGTTCATAAAGAGAGACTGGCCAAGAGCACAGATGGCACATTCCTATTAATAGGAACACAGAGGATACAGGCACAGATGCTGGATAAGTAAGTAGATATTCAAGTTTTCTTCCCATTGCCTCGGTTTTCTCAGTGAAGTAGGAATCAAGGTCATCAGCTGAGAGAGAAGATGGGAATGGAAGTGTTGGAGATTTGAGGAAAATAGGAAAGTGAATGGACTGGAAAAATAAAGTAGCCTAAGAGCCCTATGAAGATTAATAATCATGAATTTAAAGTCTCAGGTGTTTGGGAAAGCAGGCTGAGATTCTCCTCTGTGTTTTCTATAGAACACAGTAATAATATCTGTGTGACCCAACAACCTTCTCCTTATGCTTCTCATCTGCTTCAGTGGCTTTCAGGGAAAGGAACTGGTCTGTTTGGAAATTAAGAAAAATATGTGGAAAAGAACTATTATTGTCTCAGTCCAGGCAGATCTTCAGATTTCAGCTGTCTGTGCGGTTGATAAAACAAAGCATCAAGAGCTGAACAGTTGCTTAAGTAAAAAAGTATAATCAGTGATTAATATTTCCGTGTAGTTGTGCTAAGTGGATTTGTTTTGTTTTTAAAATTATTCTTCCCATCTCATTTTTTCCCTGAGCTTTCTGTATCTGCTTACAAATTTTAGGGGACCGTGTCCCCAGTACCTGATGGCTTTGGTGTGACACTGATGTTGTTTCTTCTATTATTGAGTTTTTGCTTGCTTTGTATATAGTCTGCTCAGGCTGCCATAACAAAATACCATAGACTGGGTGAATTAAACAACAAGAAAGCATTTCTTACAGTTCTGGAGGCTGGAAAAGCTTAGATCAAGGTTTGGCCAACCCTGTTCTGTGTTCCTGGCTTGCGGGCAGCTGCCTTCTTGCTATAGGGGTCGGGTGTCTCTTAAAAAGGTGCTAATCCCATCATGAGGTCCTTACTCTCATGACCTCATCTAAACCTAAGTACCTTCCAAAAGCCCCATCACCAACTACGTTAGGGGTTACAGCTTCAACGTATGAATTTGGCAGGGACACAGTTCAGTTCACAGCACTTTGTAAAAACTGCCACCAGTAGAAATGCGATTCTTTTTATGTTCAGCAGCTTATAATACCATTATAATATTTAAAATGATATTAATACATTTGTAATTTTAACATTTAAAATGATATTAATGTTTTAATTAAATGATATTAATATTAATAATTTTGGTATCTGTAATCAATTTACTCTTTGATAAAAAGCTTCCTATATAACTTGTCTGGTTTAGAAATAATTATTTCAATTTAAAGGTGAATTTAGAACATCAAAACACTTTAAAATGTTTCAGGAAACTAGTTACTTCCCAGTTTCGGGGGGGCAGGGTTAGTTGTTTTGTTGTTGTTTGTTTGCTTTTGCTGTAGATAAAGAGTATTTTAATTTCAGCAAGGAAAGTTTCCCATTTTTTTCACCCAGTAATTTCTTGGGTGCCCACTACGTGCATCTTCTAGTTGAGCAAGACAGAGTTCTTGTCCTCATGGAAACTGACTAATTGTGTTTTTTGATCGTTAAATGTTAGAAAGAAGAATAAAACCAACCAAGGTGTATGGAATGTGTATGGAAGGGAAGGGGCACTGTTTTAGGTGGAGTGAGCAGGGAAAGCCTCTCTGAGGAAGTGACATTAGCAGGTTCCTTCAAAAGAAAAATGGAAACACATGCCCCCTTTGCTGCTACTTATACTGGGGAGCCAATGTGCCAGCATTATTTCATGGTATTATTATCCAGTATTTCACACATATAGTAGAACTTGGTTCTCTATTATTCCATTTTATCTACTTCTCTCCTTAGGGAAGTTTTAAGCACTAGCTCTGTTTGAGACAACCACCTCCTCTGTTCTCATGCCTTTTTGCCAGCTAATTTTCTCTGTACTGTCTCTGTTCCTTTTTATTCTCTTAGTGGGCATGTTTTGTTTTGTTTTGTTTGTTTTTCCTGACTTCATTTACTTTTGGTTATTCTCCCATTCAAAGGTAACTATCTTTTACAAGATGAGAAAATATCTACATATATTAATACATACATATGCACACATATGTATGTTATCACTATCATTACACACATCAAAATGTTAAAAGTGTTTCTATAGACTCAAACTTGAAGAAGTATGTGGACTTATATAAAACACAAGGGAAGGAAGAATAGAAGTGCTGCTGTTGTATGAATATACTACATTGAGGGAAGTACTTTCCTGATTAGAAAAAAAAAACGTGGACACTTGAGAAGAGATTGAAAACCTATATGCCTTTAAAACTCTAGGCCCACACCAGCTGTCTAAGGGTGACAATCTCTGATCCTCATGGAGAAGTGATAGGTGCCAGAATTCTGGAGACTGGCAGAGGCGAACCTACAGGGTACCCAAAGAGTTGGAAACGAGATAAACAATATTAGTTACATTTTTCAGTAATGTGTACTTTATGTGTTACATAAACCTCTAACCACTGTTTTACGTGATATATTTCTAAATTTAAAACAATGAGTCTATTCATTAACCTGAAAAATACATACAGTAAGTACACTATTTTTCCTGTTTCCAGATTTTTTGAAAACCTTTTGGCATATTTATTGTGCTTTTTTTCAGATTAAAAATTTGACCCATTGCTTAATGTCTGTTGCTGCACGTTTCTAAACATTTTAAATAGTTGATTGTTAAAACCCCTGACGAGAGAGAGTTTCTAGATGAAGCTTCCAGGAGCTAGAATGGCTTCCCCAAGAAAATAATGCAGATCAAGCCTCCCTCCCTTTCAAGTGAAGAGGTTTCCTAGTGTGGTAGGACAAAAAACAAACGGTAGATCAATGCCTAGTTTCTCATGATACTCTTATGAGAAATATAGGCTGGATAAAACTTGATTTAGGTGAAGTCACAACTGGTTGTTCTACCCAAAGTGTTGGGTTAATGACTTCATGGCTGCTTGTACAGAGGGCTCATCTATAACAGGGTCATGCAGACCTCAGTCCTGGTTAATATCTATGTCTCAAGTTTGTGAGTATCTAGGCAGTATTCACACTTGGTGAATAACTCTAGATTTAAAAAATGCTGAACAGTCCTGAATGATGAACTAAAACTAACAAGAAAGAATTTTACAATCTGGTATTTAGACTCAAAAATTAAATTGCAGAAGTGCTGAGCCTCTAGCAGTAAAAGTTCATTTTAGAAAGAACTGATTTTTTTTTCCTACTGTGTAACATATCCTAGCACTGAGACACAGCTGAAACATGCTAACTATCCTAGGCTATATTAATACAAGTACTTTATCCACCTCAAAATAGGCCCAAACCTAATGGTGTTCAGTTTGGGTGCCACATTTTAAAGAGATGTGGCCAGCTGGAAGTGATCAGTCTTTAGAGGCTGATGAATGCTCACCAAACTCAGAAGAGACTGAAGGATAAACAGTAGTACCCGTTTATCTGTTTATAATAAATATCATATCTGCCATGGGTATTAGCCTTCCAAGGCTTCTGCTCATTCATTCATTCATTCATTCATCTGCAAATATTTCTTAAGAATCTAACCATATGCCAGGCACTGTTCTAGATGTTGGGAATACAAAACAGACAAAAATTCCTGCCCTCAAGGAGTTTATATTTTAGTATTATAGAGACAGATAATAAACTAAGTAAGTAGAGTAGTGATACAGAATATTAGAAGGTCGTAATGTGCTACAAATGATATGGTCAGACAAAGCCTTGCTGAGAAGGCAAAGGACTAACTGTGGAGATAGCAAAAGGAAGAGCATCCGCATAGAGGAACAGCAAGTTCAGTGGCACCTGGAGTGTTCATGGAACAGCCAAAAGGTCAGATGTGATGAAGTAAGGAAGAGAGTAAGAGAGAATCGTAAGGACGTGAGGTCAGAGGGGTCAGGGTGGGGTGGGGCAGATGACATAGGGCTTATAGACACTGAAAGGACTTTGGCTTTTATTAATATGATGTGAAGCCATTGGTGGGGTTTTGGCAGAGGAAAAACTCGATTTAATTAATATATTTTAATAGAATCACTCAGGTTAATTGTTGAGATTGGACTACAGCTGGAAGTGGGGTGAAGTGGGGAAACCAAAGCAGGGAGACACATTCGGAGGTTACGGCAATAGTCCAGGGTGGCTTAGAGCAGGATGGTAGCAGTGGAGGTGGTGAGAAGTGGTTCGACTTCGAATGTTTTCAAGGTCAACAGTACATTCTGTTGAATTGGATATAGGAACGAAGAAAATGAGAGAGTCAAAGATGGGTAAGGTTTTTTTTCTCTGAGCACCTGGAAGGATGGAGTTGCTATTACCTGAGAAGAGAGAACTGTGCAAGGAGCAGATTTTGGGGGTGAATATCGAGAGAGGTATATCTTAAGTTTGAGGTGCCCATTAGACATCTAAGTGGTTAGTATATCCTCCCTCGGTATGCCCTTTTAAGTGGAAAGCCAAATTGTAAACAGTTTTCTTAAGAATGAAGAACTAAGAGAAGAAGGGTCACAGTGACTCCTCTGTGAAAGTCTCAGACATCTACTTTCATCTTCCAAGGGCTCAGAAACAACCCTTCTTGGATGGCGCTGGAGAAATAAGACCAACTTCTGTCATTGGTGTCTCCTTTTCTAGATCATCATAACCACTCCTTTCGTGCATATTGTTCTTCAGACTGGGTGGAGCAGGCTAAAACTTCATATTTTCATGAGGTTATACATGCTCGAGGCTCTACTCAGTCAGCTCAGCTGAGCATGAGAGTCTTAGCAACACACTTAAACCAACTTTAGATCATTTCTTTGAGTGGTTTACTTACTTTGATGGCTGATTACTAGAAGGGTTGCTTTTTTCTGCTCACTTTATTCCTGGAAGGTAAACTTATCTTTATTTAAGTCTCCTAGTAATAAATGTTACTTGAATGAAAGTTGGTGGAATACTTGTGTCTCTCCCAAGTATCCGTCTATGGGGTGGTATTTGGAATAACGGGATATTTTATTTTTAGAAGTAAAGTTAGATGGTAGGTCTAAATGTTTGAAAGGATTACCGTGTAAAATAGGGAACTGGCTTGTTGTGTGTTCCCCAGGGAACACAGGGTTGCTCACCAGTACAATTTATAGGAAAACAAAGAAGTTGACAGTGCCATTCTACCATGGAACGGGCTTTTTCTTGATACTTTAGAAGGACTGTGGGGAACATTCAAAGAGGAAGTAGGTGTGTATTCGATATGTTGAAGTGAGGAGAGATTTCTGAAGTACCTTCTGACATTTAAGATTGATGATAATGCCACCATTCACCTTGTCACTGAACCATTAGTGCTATTTGGGAGAGTATAGCCAGAGTAGTATAGCTCGCAGGCTGTCTTTATTCCTGACCTTCCTCAGCTGGCAAAGCAGTATAGTTGTGAAATGGTCGGCTGGAGTTTGGGGTAGAATGTGTAGTCCTGTAATGTCTTATAATGGTAATTAAGGTAGAGCAGACCCCTTTATCTGTGGTTTCGCATTCCACGATTTCAGTTATCCTCGATCAACCACTGTCTGAAAATATTAAATGGAAAATATCAGAAATAAACAATTTGTAAGTTTTCAATTGCATGCCATTCCGAGTACCACACTTTATCTCTTCACGTAGGCATTGTATCATCTCACATCACAAGGGTGAGTACAGTATAGTAAGATATTTTGAGAGACAAACCACATTCATATAACTTTTATTACAGCATACAGTTATAATAGTTATATTGTTGTTTTATTATTAGTTATTGTTAATCTCTTACTGTGTTTAATTTATAAATTAAACCTTATCATAGGTATATATGTGTAAGAAAAGCCATAGTATATATAAGGTTCAGTACTATCTGTGGTTTCAGTCATCCACTGGGGGTCTTGGAACATACCCTCTGCAGATGAGGGGGGATCCTGTAATTAAATGTCATCAGATAACCTTGTCTTCCTTAGCTTTAGGCTGTAGCTTAGTAAACTGGTTAGTTAATGGTTATTGAGATTCGTGTGCCATGGAGCATTGGCTGAAGGTTAGAAAGATACAGTTCTTGCCCTATAGGTTTTAACCTAAAAATATACATGTTAGAATGGAAAGGAAAACAGGTGGATTTCTTTTGTACATATGTCTGGCCTATAATCTGTGAAATCTCCAGAAATCCATAATAAACTTTTGTATGTTTCGTATGGTACAGGCTTACAAATAAAATTACATTTTATGAACCACCATATATGTGTATATGTATACATTTGTACATATTCCACTGCAGGAGAAATAAAAATTAGGTAGACAAGTTAGCATTCTAAAGCTCATTAGAATAAAGGCATGTTCATTCATGCCAGCATCCAAATATTATGTTTTTCCAAGTCTAGCACATTGTAGACCTTTTTGCATATGTATTTTATATATTTGAAAATTAATTATGATACCATTTATATTTTATAGGATCTAAGCCTTTCCCACGTTATGGTTATAAACCCTCCCCGCCGAATGGATGTGGCTCTCCACTGTTTGGTGTTCATGTAAATATTATTTTTATCTGATAAGTTTTATGATTGGTAGGCTGTGTAATACTCTTAATAATGCAAGACTCAGTGTGTTCTCAGGTTCACAAATAAATTTGCTTGTTGTAATAGTGATCAGGTTTATTTTATTCTTTTATAGCCAAAACAAACACATTTAATAAGTTCTAACAAAACTAAATGTAGTAAAATTCATGTTTTATTTTTTAATCTTGTAGGTTAATACCATTTAAATGATATTTCCTCACGTCACAAATGTAGTTTAAAAGTTTGGAGTATAGAAGTAGTACTACTTAAGATGGAAATGTATAGATGAGGCATAAAATTTTCTATATTAAAACTAGGCAAAGTGGGATAGCTATGTTTGTGATACTGAGGCTGGACCTAAGCCAAGTATTATGGGAGGAAAAATGTTTATGAGAGTTATTCCTAGACATAAGGGTTTTGCATATAAAGTTATAGATTCAAAGGAATGGTATCTTTAGGGAATGGATGAACATTTAAAGATTAAACCACAAAAACAACAAAGAAAATTTGAGTTGTAGGAGCTTAAAATTTTTTAGTAACATTTCATTTTATTGGGGGAAGAGGTACAAAATACCTTGGAATATCCAAAAATTATACTTGCCTAGCCCCTGGATGAATCTTTTAATGCTGTTAGCCTTCCTTTCTGTTTTTAAAACTATGTTTTGTGTTTTGGGCAATTAGAAGCTGTGTTTGTTATCAGTAAGTAACTGAATATTCTAACATTGTGAAATAGGGAGCTTTAAGGCTTGGCTGAGAGGGAGGTTACAGAGTAACGTGGGTGGATGCAATAACAGTCATGGAGAGATGTATAACATAGGAAACATTTGTAGGCAGAAACAGATTTTAGAAATTTTCTACACTGCAGTCATTGTCATTGATTTCTCAGTCTATTTAAATGCAGAACTTCAGCAGAGTTTTGATTTTCATCAACAATAACCTACCCAAATGCCTCTTTCAGCTTAACATTGGCATTCCTTCCCTGACAAAGTGCTGCAACCACCACGACAGATGCTATGAGACCTGTGGCAAAAGCAAGAACGACTGTGACGAGGAGTTCCAGTCCTGCCTCTCCAGGATCTGCCGAGAGGTGCAGAAAACACTAGGACTCGCTCAGCATGTTCAGGGTGAGGATGGCCTGGCAGAATGGGGATGAGTGCAGTTTGTAAAGTTTAATCGAGTGCTTTATGTTTTAGTACAGGATTTACCAATAGAAATCTTTCCCTCTGTCTTACCTTATCTATATGGAGGTGTGTACAGCCTCTTCAGTTTTCTGAGTCGAGTCAATGATTTTGGACTCTGAAATGATTTCTAGTCACAGAAGCAAAAAGTGTTAGGAAACCTGGGGAAAAAGGTATGCGAGGCAGAGAATTCATCGAAGGTCTTGTGCCCTGTAGTGTATCTCTGATTATCCAGAGCCTAAAGTTTGAAACTCTGGATCTAGTGAATTAAGAGTAGAGCGTATTGGATTTGGAATAGGAAGTTTTAGAAAATTTATCTCAAGCCTGTATCTTCATATGTTTCTGTGTCAGGAGGGTCCCCAAAACTGCCCCCGGGTTTAGTGATTTGCTAGGAGGGCGCACAGGACTTAGCATATAGTCATACTCACGGTGATGATGATTACAGCAAAGGGATGGGATACACAGCAAAGTCAGCAGAGGAAAAAGGTGCTTCACTGCCTTCATTTATAAATGAGAGTGAGAATACTCATCTCCAAGAGTTGTTATAAGGGTAAAATTAGATATTTGTGGACACATGCACATCACAGTACAAATACTATCAGTTACAAGATTTCTTTACTATCAAGCCAAAGAATGTACCATACACTGAAATCAGAAAAAAGCAATGAGAAGGGGCATGAAAGAAGATTCACTTTCTGTAACAGATTGTGCTGGATACTTTAGACGTGTTTTCATTGATGTTTACAAAAACCCAAAGAAGTAGGTGGTTATACCCATTTTTCAAGGAAGAAAACTAAGGTTCAGAAAGAAGTAACTTGCCCCAAGTTACACACTTCTGACTGTAAAACTTGTGTTCTGTCCACTACAGTATTCCCCAAATAGTCTCATAGGTCTGATTCTGAAAGCCTAGTAATAACTGTCAAGGAAGAAATCTCTGCTCCAGGTGAAGCTTGAACTCACGACTTCTTGCATGCTTTCGGCTAAGTAAACTCGTACAGCTGAAGCATAGTTGATATATTTCCTGTTTTCTGATCTGAGGTCATGCTAATGTAGCTAAATGGTGAAACCAATTCTGCTGCAATCTTTTATTTAATAGATTAAATAAAGGAACACAATCATCATTGGTTGTGTTCCTTAATGGCACAGTCTTTTGGAGAACTTTGATACTGTCAAAATTTTTGTAATGAAAAGTTTCTTAACATGAATACTTGAAACCAGAAGTATTTGGACACTAAAAGCCACTCTGTGCTATGTCTCCATAAGTGTTATGTATTAAAATAAGCTCACCTGGGTGTTCCAGGTTTCTTAGGATAAGAAACATGCACACTACTGGTTTGCAAGGCTTTGGCATGAATTCCACCTAACACGTTTCAGTACCCACCAAAGATGTGGCTGACACTATGATGTCACATGTAATAAGTGTGAAGAGAGTGATGCTTTGCAGACGCCCCCACAGTAATGGCACTTTCTTACTTTGCAGCATGTGAAACAACAGTGGAGCTCTTGTTCGACAGTGTTATACATTTAGGCTGCAAACCATACCTGGACAGCCAACGAGCTGCATGTAGGTGTCGCTACGAAGAAAAAACTGATCTTTAAGGAGCTGCTAGCGGGTGGTGACAGCAGTTGAGGATGGAAGAACATGACCTTTGGTGAAGAACTAATGTTTTTACAGTATAAGGCTGCTTTATTTTTGTGAAAGGATTATTTTAAGACTTTCTCTTGACATTAAAACTTCAAACTAAAGAAAAAGCAGGATGTTTATGTTCCTGGATGTTGCTGCCTTATGACCAATGTCACAGAGAGGTGCATGTTAAGGGGAAAATCTTTTTTTAAAAGAAAGAGTCTGTAACTTTATTTTCACAGCCGTATTTATAAAGTAAACGAGGTCAAATGTAAAATGTAAAATTCATTATAAGGTTTGTTCAACATATCTTATTTGGAAATATGGGAAGATCTTCACTCAGAAGTATATTTGTTTACTATAAAATTTTAAATATACATTTATGCCAGGACGGATCTGACTTTATTTTTTCTTTGTTTTAATTAACACAAAATATGATGTTTTTCTGTAGCCGATTGAGTGTATGAACAAGTCACACTTCTGTTAATGACAGGACTAGTTACGAGGACAAGGTTTCCATGGCTGTTTCTGTTGTAAAATTGGAACCATCAGCTAGTGACATCTAAGGATATCTAGGTATTATGTAATGTGCCTAAAAATTCAAAAGCATAGCTGCTCCCATTTTATGAACCACTCATAAGACAAGTGTTATATTTTGTTATGACCTTTGCCTAAATTGGAGAAAAGGTGGATTTAATGAGACAAATGAAAAGTTGTTTAACATACACATCAGCATTATATGCTGTTGTGCTTTGGTGTTTTTTTCCCTAGTCCTTGCTCCTCATAGATTCTGGGATATTTTGAAAAGACTGTAACCTTTTACTAATAGTGGTCTTAATAAAAATTGTTCTTGATATTGTTTTTTGTTGTTTTTTTTTTTTTAAGTCTTTAACAATGGGGTCAAAAGGAATGGAAAAGCAAGATACAAAGAACTATCTTTTATAGATCTCTCTTTCACATTAAAAATTATTAACAGATATTTAATAGCAAGTCCCAGAAACTCAACTGCCTCTGAAAATGTTGAGTGTTGAAAGCTTATCAACTCCTTGGAAAGCTCAGCTATGTTCCTCTACTGCTCTTTGCTTACTACTGGCTGCTGACTTTCCCGAGCCCGGAATCCCAAGCCATACGTATCTTTTGGGTAAACGATGGCCAAAGTTATTAAGGTAAACCGCTTGGAAAGTCAGAGACCACCAGGAGAAGTGGTTCTTTTTAAGTCACCACAGGCAGAATTGAGCAGAAAGAAAAAGATGTTCTGGAGAAAGGGCCACATTCGTAACTCTAAGTAGAGCTGGTCCTCAAATACCATTTCATTCAACGTCACTGATGAGATGCCCTAGGAACTTAACTCGTTTCTATCAATTAGCCCATGGTAAAATTGGTTTCATTTTACTCCTTTTCATTTAAAATTGCATAACCTACAGATGTTAAGTGAGGACTTATTGTGTGTCATTGCTGAGAGCCTAACAGCTTCCCAAACCAAGAAGGTGGCAGCTGTTCTGCTAAGAATTGTTTCCTGTATTAGATGAGGCAGGTGTATCTATCCCTTGTGGCTGAGTGGGCTCCAATTTAAATGTTTGGAACTCTTAAACTTTTCAGACTTTTTTAAAGCTATAGTTTTATATGCCATTATCAATATTTAATCCTTATCAATATTTATCATTGAAATACTTGACTAGGTAATTTGAACATAATAAATTCATGGATTTTCTTAGCAGCATTGGCTTTCCCAAGAGGACAAACTCAGAATATCTGTGAAATATTTATATAGTCATAAATCATATGCAGAAATCAGTAGAAGTTGTTTTTATATGTTTCAATTTTTTAAAACTTGTCTTGGAATAATTTTAGATTTACAAAAAGTTGCATAGAAAATATAGAGACTACCTGTATGCTCCTTACACCTAATGTTAATTAGCATTTTTACATAACCATGAAACATTTGTTAAGAAACCAACATTAGTAATTACTATTAATTAAACTCTGGACTTTATTTAGATTGCACTAGTTTTTCCACTATCATTTTCCTTTCTGATGCCAATCTAAGATACCACATTGCATTTAGTCATCATGTCTAATAAACCCATGGTCTTTGACAGTTCCTTACTCTGTTTATTTTTTCATTACCTTGACAGTTTTAAGGTGTATAGGTCAGCGTTTTGTAGAATGCCCCTCAATTTGGGTTTATCTGATGTTTTCCTCATGATTGGACTGGGGTTATGGAGTTTTAGGAAGAAAATCACAGAGGCGAAGGGTTCTTCTCATCGAATCATACAAGTAGTTGAATACTATCAAGTGGGTGTTAATTCTGAATACTTGCTTAAGGTAGTGTCTATTAGGTTTCTCCACAGTAAAGTTACTATTTTCCCTTTTCATACTTCTATTCAGAAGTTAGTCACCAACTCCAGTCTATGGAAAGTGGAGAGTGGGCAAGATTATGTTTCATCTCCTGGAAAGGGGGTGTATCTATATGTACTACTTGGAATTGCTCTGTAAGAAAGTTCTGCCCTATATTTAAGTATCCCTTACACACTTAGAAAGATTCCCCCGCATTTGTTTATTCAATTATGTATATCAGTGTGAACTCATGTATATTTCTTTTCTAATGTTTATTTTGTTGTTCAAATCATTCCAGCTTGGTTCTTGGGAGTTATGCCAGGCTGGCTCCTGTGTCTCTTTGACATGCCCCATCCTTTTGATTTTTGAGCACTTCCATAATTTCTGGCAAGAAGTAGGAAAGTTGCTCCAGGCTCATCTTCTATATTCCTAGCCCCAGCCCTAAGATCAGCCTCTTCTCCAAGGAGTCCTAGTTTCAAATGGAACTTAGAAACCAAGATCTGGGTACTAGATGTGCTTGTTGCTATTGGGGTATCACTGCTTCTAGACCTTCTCAGCAAACAGAAATATGTGTGTAAATACGTACATTTCTGGAATTATCTCTGTAAGCTGAACATGAGTTCATACTGATGTTTTCACTTGAATCCTGTACCACAGAGCATATATTTAGATTTCAAGGATGGTATTTTCCCTATCCACAGAAGAAATTCATTAAAAAAAAAAAAAAAAAAAAAGCCGAAAAACAACCAACCCCTAAAACTAGTTAGCAGCTCTTTGTAAGAAATGATACTGATATTTTAAAATAATAAAACTATATTGCTTTCAAATAATGCCTGTCTCTATAAAATGTTTTGACATACTTCCTCCAGGGACAGATATGGCAGAAGAGACTGAAAATTAGGCAAAAGGATAGGAAGTTGTGATGATCAGATAACTCATTCAAACTGGATAAAATCCGGAGTGTAAATGCTGAAAGCTTGAATCTCATACAATGGATAAAATTAATGAAGCACCTGTGACATGCTAAGCAATTGGACTTGGTAATGGGGAAACCAAAAGAGGCCAATCCTGCTTTCAGTGAGAGTAAGGTGATAATAAAATAATTTATTGAGCTCTTCACAAGCCAGGCACTGTTCTGAGTACATGTAAATCAATCTTCACAACAACCATATGAGGAGGATACTGATATTCCAAGTCTTTAACTGCACATTAGTTACTAAGATGGTGATTTCTGGAAATATGCCTGCAATGAAATGAACAGTAAATACGCAGGGTGAGTAAAATTTTTCTCCTTTGATTTCATATTCTGTTTAATGACCAGGCAAGATTTTTGAACCACAAGCACATGTAGGAAAAGTTATCAAGTTAGATTTATTTTCCTCTCCCAAATAATAGGTAACATTTATAGAAAATGGCCACCCTATATTTAAGTATCCCCTACACACTTAGAAATGATGCCTTAACATTTTTTTTCCCAGTCTGAAGTTGGTTACTTTTTAAATGACAAGTCCCAGAGGAGTTACAAAAGATAAGGCCACTTTTTCATCCAATCTGAAAGAATTGTTAATTGAAGCAAATTTACACTATAGCCAACCACCCAGTTAAATGCAACATTGAGCTCCCCATTGCCCTGATGAGCACATAGTGGGCAGCATTTTATGAGCGATAATCTTGCAGATGAAAAAGGCTACATACTAAACCTAACAAGCTCAGGGGAAGCCTGCATGGCAGGCCTTACAAACTCAGAGACGAAAAATAACCCTATAGGATGGTCTGAACATAAAAATTCCTAACGAAAAGCGGGTCATGGCGAATAGTCACATCCTTAGCTTGTAGCTTCCTTGACAAAGGTCAGTCTTTAAGTGAGCCAGTTTATTGTCTTTTTGCATCTAAGACTACATAGCCTTGGAATGCCAGAGTAATCTCCTTTTCCGGACCCCTGAGAGCACACCCACTGCACCAGAGCATAAGACCACAGAATCCCTCGTTATCTCGTTCCCTGAATACCATCTCTGTGCCGTAAATGTTAACTATCCTGTACCACCAATGTAAGTGAAGAATGTGTCGCTGTTTTACTATTCATCCAATCTGAGATTTCCCCATTTTGTTTTCTCCGGCCTCCCTAATCTACCACTAATGAATTTCATGTCAGCATTACCTCCTCTAATTCTAATGTAAAAATGAGCTGTAAAACCACCGTTCTTCAGAGCATTTTCTCAATCCTTTTGAGATTTTGTTTCTGGCAATTGTCAGTTTGGTTCGAACTCTTATAAGACTTTTTCTTAGGCTGGATGCTCTTTAATCAACAATCTAAGCCACAAAGTATGGGCTTCCAATTTCTGCATGATTCCTTCCCCAAATTAGCATTCATAAAAATTCTGACAGAGACTTAACTTGGACACAATCGGGAGGGTCTGTGGAAAGAGCAAGAGCTTATGAGAGGAGTTGTATACTCTATCATCTGAGAACCCTACAGGAAGAACTCCTTATACCAGAGCTCTATGGTTGTAGCAGCTCCTCTCAACTTCCGCTTCCCTTCGAGGAGTTCCTTCGGTATATTGGTCCAACCCAGTGTATGCATGTGGCTCGCCATGTCTGCAGGTGCCAGATTGCAATCCTTTCTTATTCCCAAATAAAATCTTTTAGTGACAGAATACCTAGTTCTGTTTTCCAGGTGACAGCTTGTTAATAAAAAGTCAAAGCGAGAGGCAAAAAGTGTTCAAGATCACAGAATCAATCAGGAACACAGATTAAAGCAGAAACCCAAATTTTGTCCCAATTTCACAATGGATTTTTATGAGAAAAGGAAGGGAAACAATGATATATGAATAGAAGAAAGGACCTTTTATTGGTCTTAACCAGTTAAGTTACTCTTTAGCTACACGGGAGTACCTCATTTTATTGCACTTCGGTTTCTTGCTCTTCACAGATTTGCACTTTCATTAGCATCCAGGCAAGACCCTCCACCAGCAAAAAAGATTAGGACTAGCTGAAGGCTCAAATAATGGTTAGTATTTTTTAGCAATAAAGTATTTTTTAATTAAGGTGCGTACATTGTTTTTCAGGGTCAATGCTGTTGACATTACACTACAGTATAATGGAAACATAATTTATTTGCACTAGGACACTAAAACATTCCTGTTAACCGCCTTATTCCAATACTTGATACTCAAGGGGTGTGCGACTGTATCTCTGAAGTATGCCAGCATATGGCTGGTTACCGCTTTTAAAGAATGTCTATAACGTCAGTCCTCATGGTCAGGATACCTGCTTTCCTGTTAGCTTTACGAAGTCATTTGTAAGAGAGTGTCGCTTGGTCCACTCCAAAGGTTAATTTGCCCAATTCAAACACTGCAAAGGTCCAAGGAGCAAGTCATGCAAGCAGCTCTGGAATAGCTGCTCTAGTTCTGTTTTACAACGACTCCACTTAAGTCAATTTCTCACAGGTTCTACCTATGAAAGCCAGAGTTGAAAATCCTGCAGTTGCCTCTAGACTTGAAAATCCTGCAGTTGCCTCTAGACTTGAAAATCCTGCAGTTGCCTCTAGTTTACTTTGGCCCAAATCCCTCATACAAACAAAACTTTTAAAATAAATTATTACAAGTCCTACAAAGTAACTCGCACTAGGCAAATGACTACACGTGTAACAGAATGACACATACAACACCCCGAACCTTTGAGCCAGTCGAGAAGATGAAACGTTTGGGGCGGGAATGAGCGAGCCTCAGCTCACCGCAGGTGAACTTCTGTCGCCCGGGCTTCCTACCTGGGGCCGCCCTTGTCGAGGTGGCAGCTGGCCTTTCCCGAGGGCTGGACCATCTCGCCAGGCGACGTCGCTCCGCCCTCCCGGGCGCTCCGGGACCCTCAAGCTCTTGGGGCAGAAAGGAGTCTTCCCGGGGCGGAGAAAGGGGCGGGCGCTGCGGCCCCGGCTCCAGGAAGCGGAGGCGCCCGGGGCGTCGGGGTTGCGCTCGGCGGCGATGAGCTCGGCGCTGGGGCTCCGCGGGTCTGGCCCTGCAGGTAGGGGGGAACCGAGGGCGCGGGCTCCACCGCCTTGCTGGGCGGCCCCAGAAATTTGCAGGTCCTGGAGGGAAGCGCTTAAGCGCGGTGGGGGCAGCGTAGCTTTTGGTACCGGGAAACAATGCGGTTACCTAGCTGACGATCCCGGCTCTGGGCGGGCCCCGCCGCCGCCTTTGTCCTCTGCAGGTGATCTCTTTCCTAGTGTTGGGCCACTTTAATGTTCACTGGCTGCCCCTGCCAGGCCTTGTTCACCGCCCCCCCACACACACACACAACTGTCCCCCGCCCCCGCGCGCCTAGTCATGAAAAGTCGAGTTTTGCAAGTTGGATCTGGTTTTGTTTCCTCACTTTTAAGTAAAAAGTTAAGGAAGTAGTTGCATGCCATAATAATGGGAGCATGACCGGCCGGCCCCTGGTGTGCCTGGACTTCACCTGGAAACAAAGCCGCTGCGGGTGTGCAGCCCAGCATCGCTCTCCCGTATCCAGGATACCTACAACTGTGGGTTCGAGTTAAAGCCACAGCAACTTTTCTCTACAAAATAATCAGCTGATGAACGTGTGCTTTTAGAACGTTCTTCCCTGTCACTTATTTCATTATATTACCGACAAGATTGAGAAATTCCGAGCCTGGCCATAAGTTTTTGTTTGTTTGTTTGAAGGTTAAAGTGCTAGCAGTCCAGGCAGAGTGCCTTTATTTCAGAGCTTTTTATTCTTTGCTGCACAAACAAGTCTTGCCCCAGAGGCAAGTTGTAGGAGTCGCTCGGTCGTTCAGGGCAGTGCAGGGCCCTCTGGCTATTTCCATTTTGGAACTAGTGGTGGGGGTTGGGAAGCCGGGCAGGGATCCTGGATGCCCGACCACTGGGCAGGGCACCTCACCCCCTCCCCCCATTCTTTTGATTACCTTCCTTTTTCTACCTGCTCACTTTCTTTTCTTTCTCCACCCCACCCCTTTTCCAGCATGTTCTAGGCAGACGTGGGTTACTCACCATAGGATTGTTAAACAAACTGTTGATAGGAAGTATGGGTAAATTTGCTTAGACACTGCAGTAAATAAAGACCATGACAATAGAAGCTAGCAAAGTTTGAAGAAATGAACACTTAGTTTAGAAAGGTAGCTGTTCTCTCTCTGGTAGGAGAGAGTTTAGCATGACGACAGTAAAGAGACTGGATTCCACAGATAGACCTGACTTTGAATCTCAGCTCCACTGCGCTGAACTGGGACAAGCCTGGTGCACTTTCACTGGCCTGGGGGCTATGGAGCTGAGTGAGAGAAAGTATCTAAAGTGCCAGGCCATCAACAAACAGGAGCAGGTAGAATTATTTGGAGATATAGCAAATTAAGATGAGAAAAAAGGAGCGATTTGTTCTGTAAAAATGAAACGACTTTAAGGAGCAAAGAGGTTAAGAGTCGGGTTTAATGATGGACCCATGTTCGATAAATATATTGCAAATGAATAGGAATTTATAAATCTGTAGTATACGGTATCTCCTTCATTAAAGTTTATTTTCTCTATGTCAACAAAGCCATTCACCCTCTTGGCCAGTCTGTACTCATGCAGTATAGTGATATTTGCTCAAGCGCACCCTTCCTTCTGCTTGGTACATACAGCTTAGAGTGACCATCAGAGTCACGATGTATTATTTTCTTTGGAAACCGGGTAAAATTGCTCCAGGACAGTACTGGAATTTAGGACTCCCTACCTCACCCTCACCCCCAGGATGGGTTTTGTCAGTGAGGAGAGGAGAGGTTGGAACAATCAAGTGTCAGGGAGACACTCTCTAAGGAGAGGCGGGAACACTACCCTCTTGCTAGGAGGTGAGCTGTAGGAAGGGTCCATACCGTAAGGTCCATTGTGCTTCCTCAAAGACTCAACCAAGAGGTGCATCTTGCTGTACTGTTAGTTTTTGCTTATTCATTACTTCTTCTCTCTCCTCGAGGCTGTTAAGTTTGTCGGGTAAAAACAGATTCATGGGTACATGGGCCCTTATTGTATAAGATGCTAGATTCATCGTGCTGTCCAATACAGAAGCCACTGGCCACAAGTGGTTATTTGAATTTAAATTAACTAAAATTAAATTAAAAAGTTCCTAACCTGCATTGGCACCTTTCAGGTGCTCAAGAGCCACATGTGGCCAGTGGCTACCACATGGGACAGCGCAGGTATAGAACAATTCCATCACCACAGAAAGTCTGAATGCGCAGCTCTGTTTGAGGGAGTAGAGAGGGATTCAGTGAAAGGTTGTCCAGAGGGTGGGGAAGTCTGATCGGGTTGGGAGGAGAGGGTCCCCATTATGGGGTTATAAGTGCAAATGTGTCTTTCAGGAGATCCAAAATCAAAGCCTTTGCCCTACTCCTCCTCTTCCTCCACCCAAACTTTGACCTCTTCCTGGTCCTGTGGTCATCCAGTATTAACCACACCCTGTGTTTCAGTTCTCCTGTCTGACTTTGTTCCTTCTTTGTTTCAGAGACTATTCGCAAAAAACATTTTCTGTAAAACAAAGCGATTTCATATCTCATTTGAGTTCCTTAATCACAAAACTATTACTCTAGGCATATTTTGCAATGAATGTGTTTGTGTAATGTGTCTTCATTTCTTTTTATAATATTCATTGCTATTTTGCAGATAAGAGTTGGGGGTGAGAAAGCATTGAGCTATGAATTTGTAGTTCACTTGTTTATTATTAAAGTTTCCCCTCCCTTTTCCCTTACCTTTCTTTTCATATTTTAACTTTTAAACTAACCAAAACAGAAGAGTCTTAAAATATGAGAGTCAAAAGCACATGGGAGTTACTGCTGTTTCACTATCGGTCAAAAAGTAAATTAACAAAAATCAACTTTTTTTTTTAATAGGTGAGGGACAAAACATGACAGAAACAGATGCCTTCTATAAGAGGTAAAAATGTGCTTTTTTCTAATAAAGGCCTCCTCCTGTGGTGGTCATGATCAGACGACAGAAATCAAAGCAAGGACCCTGGGAGCTGGAAAGTAGAACTGAGTATGTCAGGTTTTAGCATTTGGAGAGCTAATTTGTAGATATGCAGGTTAGTTTCTGCCTCTGGTTGTAAAAGGACCTAGAATGGTTTTTGGAATATTTAAGAGTTGATATGGCATGAGCCCTAGAGCTAGAGATGGGCCTGGGCCAGGCCACTGCCCTTGGTGGCCTGAAAACCTGGGGGACAGACACCCATGCAGATTGATTTCGGGTGGCACTGATGATGGCTGCTGTTTACTAATTGGTATGGAAATACTTCAGGACTTTCCTTACTACTGTGACTATGAGGCTTTCCCAGTGCACACCAATGGCATGTCAGTCTGGCAGAAGAGGAAACAGCAGACCTCTGTCTACACTACGCATTGACCTTAGGCTTGAGGGAGCTCATTATTTAATATGACTTAAAGTGATTGTTTTTTAAACTTTTCATTAGCAGTGAAATGTTTGATCCGGCAGAAAAGTACAAAATGGATCACAGGAGGAGAGGAATTGCTTTAATCTTCAATCATGAGAGGTTCTTTTGGCACTTAACACTGCCAGAAAGACGGGGCACCAGCGCAGACAGAGACAACCTTAAGCGCAGGTAGTAGTTTTATCTACATGTCAAGGTGATGAGATATTTAAGTGATAACTACTAATTAAAACTTGTCTGCACTGATGAAATAACAGCAAGAGTATGTGAGGATGAGCATCAGTTGGGCACAACCTCCCTTAAGAAGTTGCCTAAGTTTTCTTCCTATCCATGTTCTATTAAATGTCAACAGTCTTTGCATTGTTACCAAAAAGAAAAGAAAAGAAAAAGTTGACCATTGAACAACTTAGAGTTTAGGGGTACTAACCCCCACACAGTCAAAACTCCACATGTAACCTTTGATGCCCAAAAAACTTAAATTGTCCCCCAGTGTCCACTGGGGATTGGTTCCAGGACCGCACCCCCACCCCAGATACCAAAATTCATGGATGCTCAAGTCCCTTGTATAAGATGGCATAGATCAGTACACACAGTTGGCCCTCTGCTTCCGTGGACTTCCAACCACTGATTGAAAATAGTACAGGTATTATTGAAAAAAATCCACATATGAGTGGATCGTCACAGTTCAAACCCACATTGTTCAGGAGTCACCTATATTTGCATAATAGACAATATTCTAACTTGAATCAGTCATCATTACAAGTAAATCCTTTCCTACCATAGGTGATCAGGGAAAACTATCATTGTCATATTTGTTTTTTCTTTCTTCCTAAAGTCAATTTATATGTCATAAAATGTGTATAGATTCCTCAAATAAGTAGGGTATGTGACAACTTTGAATAGCTCATAAGCTAATGTCCAATTTAATCTATCACCAGATTTTCAGATCTAGGATTTGAAGTGAAATGCTTTAACGATCTTAAAGCAGAAGAACTACTGCTCAAAATTCATGAGGGTAAGTAGTTTTCAGATTCATCTTCCTCTGATGGGATCGAGTACTTTAATGATCCTATCTGTAAAGACAGGTCCAAATAAAATTAACTGTGTTGTAAAAAGTCTTATCAATTAATTTGGCATGGTTTATAGATTTTCGTTATGCCTCTCTGCTTAAATGTCACCCACTAGATTTAGACCCCTTTGCAAAGTATTATGTCTCCAAAGTTTATATTTAGCATACCACTAGTTACAATCTATTGCTCTAGAAATTAATGAAATGACCTTTTTACTTGGCAATGAAATATCTAAAATGCAAACACTACAGATGCTGGGCAGTCATTTTTTTAATTGACTCCTGTTCCCAAGATTTTTACTGGCTTTGAGATTCTGTTGACTTATATACATTATCTCTCTTAATGTCCATATTACTGTGCAGCAGATATTTTAACAACTTATGTTTATCATACTCATCACTGCATGCCAGCCATGGATTTTCAAGTCATTTGCCAACAGACTATTATAATGTTTATATAATATAAACTTCAGAGTTTTTTTGTTGTTGTTATAATCGACATATAACATTATTGTCAGCTGGACATGATTCGATATTTTTGTACATTGCAAAATAATGACCACAATAAGTCTAGTTACCTTCACCATACCTAGTTATAAAATTTTTTTTCTTGTGATGAGGACTTTTTTCTAAAAAATCCTAGGAAAGGATTTACTCTCTTAGCAACTTTCAAATATACAATACATTATTATTGACTGTAGCCACCGTGCTGTACATTAGATCCCCTGACTTATTTATTTTATAACAAAGTTTGTGCCTTTTGACCCCCTTCACCTAATTTTGCCCATCCTTCCCTCCCCTCAGGCAACCACTAATCTATGTCTATGAGCTTGGTTTTTTGTTTGGTTGGTTTTTTTAGATTCCACATATAAGTGAGACCATATTGTATTTGTCTTTCTCTGACTTATTTCACTTAGCATAATGCCCTCAAGTTTCATCCGTGTTGTCGCAAATGGCAAGATTTCATTCGTTTTTATAGCTGAATAATATTCCATTGTGTGTGTGTGTGTGTGTGTGTGTGACACAATTTCTTTATTCATCCATCAATGGACACTTAGGTTGAATAATATTCCATTGTGTGTGTGTGTGTGTAACACAATTTGTTTATTCATCCATCAATGGACACTTAGGTTGATTACATATCTAGGCTGTTGTAAATAATACTGCCTGAACATGGGGTTGCATATATCTTTTTGAGTTTGTTTACATATCTAGGCTGTTGTAAATAATACTGCCTGAACATGGTGGTGCATATATCTTTTTGAATTTGTTTTTGTTTTCTTCAGATAAATACCCAGACATGGATTTGCTGGATTATATAGTAGTTTTTGTTTTTGTTTTTACTTTTTTTTGAGGAACCTCCACACCAGAGCTCTTCTTTAAACTGTAAATCATTTTAATTTTAACTGGCTGCTTACCAGGTTTTCTACTTTGTTTGCTCAAAAGCTTCATAGGACATCAATCTCGTCTTAATACTCTTTTGGAACCTCTAAGTGCTGTAGACATACTGAAGGCGCTGCACTCAATGGAGTGCAGCGGCACATAGGGAGTTGTTAAGTAGTAGTTTCTGGGTCTCTCAGTCTGCCAGGAAGCTCTCTGCTGTATTCAGAAAACTTTATTGCTAAAATGACTTGGATCTTAAAGTGGTGCCCCATTGTAATCCCTTTACATTTTACATGTCATCGTTCTGTGTTTTAGAGAAACTAATTGAAATCTGTTCAAATTCTATTACTTTGACCTTTAATAACTTTGATTTTTAAAAATCTGATACAGAATGGTATAAATTGTTTGGTTAAAAACTAATGTATGTTGTGTTTCATTACATTTTACATTTACTATAAAAATAACAAATTTTCTCCCTCAATCATATGTATGTGACTTTATTCTTATATTAGTAAATTGAATTTTTACATGTAAATAAGCATCTCGTTTTCATTTCTATATGAACTTTTGGGGGACTTTACAGCATCGAATTCTAGCCACGTAGATGCCGATTGCTTTTTATGTGTTTTCCTGAGTCATGGTGAAGACAATCACATTTACGCATATGATGCCAAAATTGAAATTCAGACATTGACTGGCTTGTTTAAAGGAGACAAGTGTCAGAGCCTGGTTGGAAAACCCAAGATATTTATCATTCAGGTAAGACCGATGATGTTATAATCTCAATTATAAAGCCCAGAGTGTATACATGTAAATATAAAGAACTAAAGGCGATTTCAGAAGTAACTTTCTCCAGTAACTAGAAAGGTCCTTTTTGAATTCTAGCTACTCAGAGTTGCAATTTGAATTATTAGTAGTAATTCTTTCTTAACATAAAGAATAAAAAAATAAAGATTCTTGGTATCTTTACTACTTGGATTGACATTTGAAATGACTCAAAATAACCAGTGTGTTACCCCATGGCCCAGCCCAGTGTCAAGGTAGAGCCACCAGAGAAAGTATGTGCTATCTGGAGAATGCAGTGCAAAGCAGCCTACTCAGACTGGGTCGGGTTCTCCCGGAGCTGGAGAGCATGTGAGCCAGTGGGAAGGATGCAGCCATAGAGGTCTAGTCCTAGCTTGCTTCATCCTTCCACATTCTCTTTTAAACCAAGATGCTGTTTCCCCTGTGCCATATTGGCATTAGGGATAAAAATATTTGGAGGCCTAAATAATGTCATCTGGTATGTCAGTAAGGATTTTGAACAAAAAAGAGAATTCCAGATATTCCAGTGCCGTGGTCTGTGTTTCCACGAACGGCATGGAGGACATGACCACATTCTACCTTCCGCCATAGAGCCTTAAGGGGAGGGAGTGTGGGGTCTATCAGAAGTTAAGGGTGATTTCCTGGTTTCTTGTTTGGATAACTGCATTGGCCTAGCTGTAGGATGTGCAGTGGGGGTACAGCTCTAGGACCTAAGAGAGGCAGCCTCAGTTGGAGAAATAAACGTAGGAGTAATGAGACGAATGGTAATGAGAGCCATGGGGCAGATGGGTTTACTCACGTCAAGTATAGCCTGAAAACTGAGTGTTTCATAGAACTGAGGGACATGTGTGAAGACTGAGCATGAGATGCTGAGGAGGGTGGCCCAGAGAAGGAGAAAAATGACAGATGATTGCTTCATGGGAAAGGGAAGAGAGAATTGAAATAACTAATGAGCCACAAAGGAATAAAATACTTGGTCAAGTTATTTTATTTCTCTGTGTCTCAGATTCTTCATCTATGAGTTGGGGATAGAACAGCACTGCCTCATTGGGTGGTTGCAAGGACAAAATGACTTGGCCTCACAAATGAAAAACATTTAGAACAGTGCCTCACACATGGCAAGCCCTCAGTTTAGGGCTGCCTCTTATTCTTACCACAGTTGATCTGGCAACCGATGACATGAAGTTCCAGGTGTCCTACATTATATTAAGAAGACAGTGAAAAATAAGGTCTGAAAACAAGCCTGACAATTCTACGTAAGATTAAAATCTCCCTGTAAAAATAGGATATTAGGGGCCTTCTAGTTATCTAACTTTGAAAGCACTCATGACTTTTTTTGTTCCTTTTAAAGCTTATTAATTCTTTAACCATTTCTTAACTGAAGGATGCATTTATAATGGTAAAACCTAATCTGTTAGGTCAGTGAATAAATTTACTAGGATAGCCGGAATAAAGTCCACAGACTGGGTGGCTTAAACAACAGAAATTTATTTTCTTACAGTTCCGAAGAAATCTGGGGTCAAGGCATTAACAGGGTTCTACTCAAGCTTCTCTCTTTGGCTTCTAGGATAGCCGGAATAAAGTCCACAGACTGGGTGGTTTAAACAACAGAAATTCATTTTCTTACAGTTCTGAAGAAATCTGGGGTCAAGGTGTTAACAGGGTTGATTTCTACTCAAGCTTCTCTCTTTGGCTCGTAGATGCCTGTTTTACCCCTCTATCTCCTCATGGTCTTTCCTCTGTCTGAGTCGTAATCTCTTATAAGGACACCAGTCATAGTGGATTAAGGCTCACCCATATGACCTTATTGTATCCTAATTATTTTTTTAAAGACCATATGTCCAAATACAGTCGAATTTGAGGCAGTGGGGGTTAGAACTTCAACGTATAAATTTTGGGAGGATGGGGACAGAATCGAGCCCCTAATAGACGTTTAAGAGTATAAATTAATGTTAGCTTTTGTGTGTCAGAATTAGTGGACAAGAATTTGAGACCTCACTTTCAAGTGGGAGCAAAAGGAAGAAGGCACATTAACAGCTGTCTTCTCAGGTCAGGTGGTGTCATTTTGACCCTAAACAGTTTCGGGCAGCAAGTAGGCAAGCAAAACCCAATCTGGAAACATATCTGATTAAATGGAAACACTTAGGCAAATACTGTAGCTTTTAAAAGGGGTGACTCTTGGTGCTGTGGTGTGGTTAATCCAGAAGGAGTTTTTAAGCCGCGGCAGTTTTCTCTATATTATGTACCTTTCAATCAGCATAATTTAGTGTATAGTTGAAGATACCAATTTTTCAAAAACATTAACTAAAAGAAAATGTAAGTAAGGAAAAAACTGTCAGCTTCAGTCTGCTCTAAACCTAAATGTTTTGTTTTTGAAGTGCCTATAAAGTGACTTCTGTTGATGTTGACATGAAGGGGTACTGAATTATATTTCCTCTGTAAACATTAAGCATTGGGAAGAAAAGAGTAAGTAAGTGAAGGGAGTGGTGTTTCTCTTTGTCTCGTAGGCATGTCGGGGAAACCAGCATGATGTGCCAGTCAGACCTTTTGATGCAGTGGATCATCGTACAGACCAGCTGGGTGCCAATGTCACCCAAGTAGATGCAGCCTCAGTTTACACACTGCCTGCTGGAGCAGATTTCCTCATGTGTTACTCTGTTGCAGAAGGTGAGTGCTTAATACAAACATAGAATTGCCTTTCTTGGCTAATTTCCATTCCACCTTGGCTTGAGTTGGATCAAGTCTTTCTACTGGGATACGGTGATTTGGTCCTGAAGTTCACAGGCTTAGATGGATTTCTTTGATCACATAGTACAGTGATACATGAAAGTATAAAATGCCTTATAGAAAAATCATCCCTGAGAACTAAAGTCTAAAGCTACAAGTCTAATCATATCGAATATTAGCACCTGCTATCAATTACTGATGGTATCATTGTGTTCATATTCATGAGCTTTGTTGAAAAATATTTGATAATGATTATTCTTTTTCAGTAAATGATTTTGTTTTTTTAAGGTTTTCCCGTTTTAAAAAATTAATTTATTTTTATGGTGACATTGGTTAACGAAATCTGACAAATGTTCTTTTTAATATCTTGTCTTTAAAAATCACCTGGTGACTCTTGGGAACTTTTTGGTAATGAAGGAAATTACACAGAATTAATCCTATTTTTATAGAACTATATAGAATTAATCCCTTTTCCCACATGAGAATAGTCAACAGAGAAAAAAAAATTTTAAACTGTATCATGGACACATCTTAGTCTTCTCCAAGAATTTTTGAGAATTTATACTTCTGTAATGGTGATTTTTAGTCAGTTACTGAAACCCAGAAACTTTCAGTGCCCTTTTTCTCCCTGTCTTTTTTAGGTTATTATTCTCATCGGGAAACTGTGAATGGCTCATGGTACATTCAAGATTTGTGTGAGATGCTGGGAACATTTGGCTCCTCCTTAGAGTTCACAGAACTCCTCACCCTGGTGAACAGGAAGGTTTCTCGACGCCGTGTAGACTTCTGCAAAGACCCAAGTGCAATTGGAAAGAAGCAGGTCCCTTGCTTTGCCTCCATGCTAACGAAAAAGCTGTATTTCTTTCCAAAATCTAAGTGAAAGGGCTGTTTTATATAGTTGTATTCAAAATAGATTCCCCTTTCTTATATAAATAACACTAGGTCGAAGCTTAATAGTACAGCAATTTGAAATGTTTTAAGGTTTAACTTTTTAAAAAGAAAATAGTTCATTTTGGACACAGTGAGAGGGTTTGCTCTATGTAGAAACAAAATCCTCAGGGAATTAACTATAAAAATCCACAAGCATTTATAATACTTGATTTTTATAAGTTGCAAATATCTGGGTGACTTAACTTGTATTTTGTTTATTTTTTAATAAAGGGTTATAATGTTTTTAAAGGTTTTTGAAACCCAAGATTTAGTTGTTTTCCTTTAATTTTGAAATTCACGTTTTGCAAATTTTGCTCATTCAAATTTTCCTGTGTGTAATTTACACACAAATGTTTTTATTTATGTACACGAATTAATATACACGAATTGTTTTAGTTGGTCATGCAAATTAATCTACATATGAATTATCACTTTTTGTATAGGACTTTAAAAAAATCAGCCTTTAAGAACTATTATATGGCATTCTGAGGAAGAAATATAAAATTGTTAATTCTTAGTCAGTATAGCCTGAACACTTGCAAAATTTGATTCTGTCAATATCTTCCATGTTAAGTTACCGTACATCATCATTCCCACTCACAGACCATGATGCTGATAGGGATAGATATTACCTTTAAGGTTCGATTCTTAATGATATATAAATTTGAATAATATTGTTTTGTTAATAACCTGCCAGAGGCTAAAGATGGTTAAATGTTTAGGCTTTTGGTAACTGAAACTTGTGAGTTGCTACTTCAAAAGCTATAGTTTACATATATTGTTTCAGTTGCAGTTCAAAAAGTATGCTAACTATGTGCTGTGGTTAGTGAGACATTTGTACCTTTTCTTGTGGTCATGACAGGGGCTTCACTGGCAGTTGAATGTTTTACTTTAAGTCCTTACCACAGGCGTTGCCATCACTGCCTCTGCTTCCAAGAGCTAATGATGACAGAAATGCTCCTTAGCGTTTTTGGTGAACTGATGAACACTGGCTTGGCCTTCTATGTAAAGATTATACAATTCTGGTTACTTAAGAGAAATCAGCTGGTGTTAATAAAAAGCTCTAAACCAAAACAAAAAGACAGACTTTTTTCCTCAAATGTGATCGGTCAAAGGGTTTATTTGAATAAAATCCTCTTGTTCAGATGCAGTGACATTGGTACCTACATATCTGGGCACCAAATTGCCATCAAATCTGAGGCTGTGGAAACAATGGGGACACAATTGAGTCCTGTACGAAACAGTTGTCTTAGAATAAGACAGTCCTTTTGTAATAAAATTAATGTGTAATGTGCTCGGATTCCTTTAATTTTCTTTCCAATCCCTTTGGATTTACAACTTGGAATGTGAGTAGAAAGATCATATACTGTTTATGTTTTTAAATAACTGACCTATAAAGTTTTAACATAAATGACATGTGTCATATAGAGAAACTACATTTTCAATATTAAAAAGGTCAGAGTGTCCTGTCTATTATCATAGCTATATCATCCCCTCAGTACTCAGAAATCAGTCACCAATGTGACTTACACACAGCTCTTTCTTTGAAGAAAAAGAATTATACTTCTTATTTTACTTAGTAAAGTGGGAAGAAAGAAATCAAAGGAAGCTATCTTTACTAAGAATTAATTCATTTTTCACATGACTAGTTTTCTGAAGCCCTAAAAACATATAAGTATTCTTTGATAACTGTCTTTCATTTCACATTCTTGTTCAGGGGTCAGCAAAATTTTTCCATAAAGAGCCAGAGAATAATTATGTTAGACTTTGCAAGCCTGACTATTGCAACTAGTCGACTCTGCTGCTACAGTGGACAAACAGCCACAGGCAATACATAAATGAGCATTGTTATGTTTCAATAAAACTGTTTACAAAAATAGGTACAGGTATTAGTTTGCCAATTCTGTCCTAGTTCACCCCATCTTCCTGGATTTTCCTTTAGACTGTTTGCAAGAATTCAGAAGCTATCCTGTCCACTTTCCTAGTCTAGATTCTTTCCCCAGCTCTATGCCTGAAAATACCATGGACCTTTTCCCAGTCTTTCTTGGGTACCTAGTATGGGCCAAGCATTCTTGGCACTGGGATGGATATATCAGTGAACAAAGCAAACAATCCCTGTTCTGAAATTTACATTTGGGTGACATTTGTAGAGTATACCAAAACAAAAAGACAGACGAGATGACTTTTGTTATGTTAATGAGATGACTTTTGGACCAATTGTGGGGGCTGGTTGCCAGGAGAACCAACTGTGTGATTAGAGATTTGAAACTCAGTCTCATCCCTTTCAGCACTCCCGGAAGGGGAGAGGGGCTGGAGGTTAAGTTCAACCACCAATGGCCAATGACTTAAGTCAATCATGGCTTTGTAATGGAGCCTCCATAGAAACCCAGGAGGACCACTAGTTCGCTTTTTGAGAGAGGTTCCACGTTGGAGAGCCAAAACTTCCATGGGCCACCACGCTGGGCCTCAGACTTCACGAGGGAAGAGCTCCTTTGCTGGCACCTCGTCCTATGTATCTCTTCATCTGGCTCTTGATTCCTTTGTAATACATCAGTAATTGAGTGAATAATTGGGTTTTCCCGAGTTCTGAGAACTGCTCTAGCAAGTTAATCTAATCTGGGGAATGGTTCACAGGAAACTGATTTATAGCTAGTTGGTCAGAAACACAGGTGACAACCTGGGCTTGTACCTGATATCCAAAGTGGAAGGCAGTCTTGTGGGACTCAGCCCTTTCTTTACCTGTGGAATCGCATTCTATCTCCAGGTAGATGGTGTCAGAATTGAGTTGAATTTTCAGACACTCTGCATACTTCTGAGAATTGCTTTTTGATGTGGGGAAGCAAGCGTACACACACACACACACACACACGCACACGCACACGCACACGCACACGCACACACAATGAAATTGAGTCTGAAAACCCTTTTCACTTGTCATAATACTTAGCCTGGTGATATTCATTATAAAAACATATTAGTACATATTCTTAGCTTAGTTATAAAACACCAATATATTGCTATTTCAGAATCTCTGTGTTTCAGAGACACTGATACAAATAGCAAGTGATCATTGTGTGTTGCTCTGGTTAAGGTGTAGGAAGTCTGAATCTGATTTGACTGCAAGATGTACCCTGAAAATCATTGGAATATTTTTGTTTTTTTGTTTTAAGCAAATCTTTGATATCTAGGTGTTATCATTACCCTTGTCAAACACAGAAACAGTAGAATCTTAGATAATATATTAAATACCATTAGTTGTAAATTTACAAAAATTTATGACTTACTATGTATAGATGCTTAAATCTTCTAGCTATGTCCACTCAGGCAGATTAACTTCTCTAAGCCTTATTATTAAATTGGGATTAAAATATAGCTACCTCATAGGATTATAGGACTACAGATAACATATATGTAAAGTGCCTAGAACAGTATTTGACAACATACAATAAATAATATCTATCTCCATAAAGATTAGTTAAGATGAAACACCTCATGACATTTTATAATAATTTTGGCTATATTTAATGATAAAATCTTCCAACTACTATGCATTTAAAAAGAAATTAGACTTATCGTGGTTATTAGACTTATTGTGGTGATCAATTCATAAGATATAGTCATATGATATTGAATGACTATGTTGTACACCTGAAACTAATATACTATCGTATGTCGACAATAAAAAAATCTTTTTAAATAAATTAATGACAAGATGATTCTAAATGAAGTCTAACAAGAGTGAATGCCAAGCACACTGACCATTTCACCTCTGCTCAGGGAATGAACATAGGACGGGCTGACGAGGATTCTTAGCATTAAGTGCCAACTGTAGCAGAAGCCACTTTGATTTTGATGGATGCATCCAAGCTTCTTCCAACATTAAACCTCAACAAGTCGTGAAGCTCCACAAACCAAAAATCTCAAGTAAGAATTTCCCAGAATATCTGTGTTTTGCAAGCATATTTTTTTTTTATTAACAAAAGAGTTTGAAACAGTCAAATTCAAATGAACTATGAGACTCAAAAAGTTCCAGTTTCTAATTTGCAAAATCAATACCTAATGGAAAAATTCAATGACATTTAAAAATGTAAGATTAATTCTCTTCGTCGAGTTCTTCTATGTGCGCTGGCAAATAGAGAGAGCGGCGTACCTGGCTCAGGGATTCTTTAGCCTGTCAACGAGAGAAAGAAAAGTCCCTGAGCAGAGAGCACTGGGAACATACCAGTATGGCTGCCAGAGAGGACATATTTCCTTAGGTCGATATGTACACTAAACTACTAGTGATAAATGCCGATGATATTTTATTTATATGGATCCTTTGTTAAAAGTGAGTTTAAGGTTTCTAATACATCCTTATAGTTCTTGTTATGTTAATTTTCCCCTTTGTAAGGGTTTTCCCAGTTGGTATTTAAAAAAAAAACACGTCTCTGTGACCTGTCAGCTTCCCTTTTTTCCTCGACTTTATTATCTTAAGAAAATACTACATCGAGTGCTACTTTAAGTCTTAAAGCCCAAGCTATAAACTTGTTGGAAGAACATTCCTTAGCCTTCTCGAATTGGATCATTCAAATGAAAGAGTATCCACTAAATTTTTTTAAAAAGCATCATTATATTTTTTCTAAGTAGTGACTACAGAAAATTTAAAAAAAAAAAAAAATTTAAGGCTCTTTAACTCTAATTTTTGAGTTACAAATTAAATTTAGTAGTATTTTTTCTTCAAGTTTGAGGAATGGGTAGTTTAGAAGGTACAGATAACAAAAGATATAATAATTCCTGGCTACTAAGTGAGCATGCATTGAGCAAGAGAAGATATTTTTACCAAAACTTTTTAATAAAATTACTAAGAAAAATTAAAAATCTAATTAGTTACGTGTTGAAAAGTCATCACTTGAACAATCTAGTGAGCCCACTGGGAGGCCAGAGGTAAAAGTTGCCTAAGAAATGGATTGTGAAAAAGTGCTTAACACCACAGGCTCCAGACAAACTTGTGGGTTCATACCCTGGTTTCCCACTTTCTAACATTGTATATGTAGACAAGTTACATTAAACACCTCCATTTTCTCATCTGAAAGATGGAGAAGATTAAAGAAAGACTACCATATCGATTTTTCTATTTTTAAGGAAAAGAAACTTGCAAATTCCTTTAGAGAGCTTAAAATTCTTTATCAGAGTGTTAATCTTCCTAAAATACTAATTTCTTTCATGTCTTTAATAGTACAAATCAGAAAATGAGCTTGATATTGAATTATTTTCTTTAAAAACATGTACTTGCTTAGAAATAGATTTCTATTGAAAACTATTATTTTACTATCTCAAAGTCATTTAAGACAGTTTGGAATGCACAGTTAAAGCTATCTGCGTGTTGAATACAGAAGACAATAAACCTGTAGGATATGGAATTAGTATCAGACAAGTCAACTCTTTCACTGAACAAAACCACAAACATGGAAGATTTAACCTGTGAGGATAAGTCACCAATTGTATTTCCCTGAACTAAGTTCTGGCTCCAAAAATGACCACCTGTAAGATGCTGCGTTTGCGATAACGTACCTTAGCAAGATCTTCTTTTAATTTGTTGTATTGCACCACATCGAAATGCTGTTGCTTTGATTTCTTATGAAAGTAGTGAAGAAATTGCCTAGTCTTAATAGCTGAGTAAGTATAATCCTAAAAAAGGGAGAAAAAAAGAACATGTTTTAAATGAACATAATGCCTCCACAAGAACGAGCCTTAGCAACACCAAAGCAAGGGAAGGCAGACAAGTGAAATATTTGCAGTGGCCGTCAGAGCAAGCATAAGGCAACACAAGCAAAACATTTTGTCTCAGTTGAGATCAGCTGCTCATTTCAAAAGCAAGTGAGCTAGGAAAAGAAATCACACATACTGGGACAGAAGGGAGAAAAGAGGAAATGGAGATTTTTGACAAAATAATGTATGAGATAAAGCTAAAGTTACTGGGTGTTTTACAATACAAATTCAATTTATTTATAAATGAGGGCCCCAAAAACACAAACTTGATGTGTTTATCTTAGTGCCTCTAATTTGTGAGCTGTACTATTTGTTTCTCTATAAAGGTTATGTACAGTTTCTGTGCTGTACACAAACCTCCATCCTTATGAAAAACAACAATAAAACTTATCAGCTTATAAAAACCCAGATAGCAGTAGTTCAGTAAATAAAAAGGCTTTATTGCTCATTATTTGACTTGGATAAGGAATTATTTGCAGAAGATATTCTAACTAATCATTTTCCTAACAAACTACTCACCTGTCGAGTGACTATGAAGTATGCAAAAAAGACCATGGAGTTTGCAAATGTGATGAAGTATGTCACTGGTTCCATGATATCCCAGGAGTACACCCACCACGTGAACCAAGCCAGTGCCCCACCCTGAATGGACAGCAGGGCTAAGCCAGCCCACAGGAGTCCATTGGTTTGGGCTTCTGAGCGGGCTTCGATTCTGGCTTTCATCTGAGAAAAAAAAATGACAGTTCAGTTTACAAGAAGAAAAGAAACAAAAGTAATGCACATCTGCATTAGTTTAAAGAGGTCTGATTTATAGGAAAAAAACCCAGAATTTATAAAACATGTACATTAATGAGTGATCACCTATTTCCAAATCAGTTCATTAGTAAATGGTTTTTTTAAGTTGTAGAAAAATTTTTTGTGGAAAGAAATTTTTAAATGGTATGAAAGGGTATACAATGAAGCACTCAGAAATCATCCTCTGAAACCCACCTAAAATTACATGCCTATTTTCTTCAACTCAGCAATTTCACTTCAGGGAACTCATCCTACAGGTACTCTTGCCACATGACCCATGATAGATTCATTTTTAACAGCAAAAAACCCCAAATTATCCACATGTCCCTCAAGCTGCTAAGCAGCTATAATGTAGAAGCTCTCCATGTACCAATATGGAAAACTTTCCAGGATACAGGCAGACCACAGAGATATTGCAGATTCAGTTCCAGACCACTGCAATAAAGCGAATATTGTAATAAAGAGTCACACAAATTTTTTGGTTTCCCAGTGCATATAAAAGTTGTTTACACTATGCTGTAGTATATCAAGTGCATCGTATAGCTTTATGTCTAAAAAAACGATGTACATATCTTAATTAAAAAATACTTTATTTATTGCCAAAAAATGCTAACAATCCTCTAAGCCTTCAGCAAGTCATAAGCTTTTTGCTGGTGGAGGGTCTTACCTTCAATTTGCAAAAGATGCAATATCTGCGAAGTACAATAAAGCGAAGAGAAATAAAATGAGGTGCACCTGTATACTGTTAGTGAAAAAAGGCGAGAATAATGTGTAATAGACTGTGCTCTTTTCTAATAAAGAGAAGAAAATAATGTTTGTATTTGTACATAAAGAAAATCTGAAATGGTTCACAGGTGTGGGAATATGGTACTAGGAGGACTGTGGGAGGAAAATTTTCCATTGGCCACCTTTTTAGTTTCTTAAATCTTATACAAGTAAAAACATCACCAACTTTTTAAAAAGTAAGGAAAAAAATGTAGGTGCCCAACCCAACAAATAATATAAAAAAGCCCCTCTCTCTGTCATCCCCTAGGTATCCTAGGAAGCAATCAATATTAAAAATTTATCTCCAGAAACTTTCTATTCATATACAAAGATACACATACACACACTCATATTTAAAAATCACAAGTGGGATCACAAATTTAAAATATGTAGTTTTTTCCCTTAAATTAGAACAAACAGACTCCTGCCCCACCCCACCCCCAAATGTTACTTTTTTCTCTACCATTGATTAACTTCAGATGTTAGGAAGGTTTCTCTAACTTTCCAGCTATAGTTCTGTTAAGCAGAGCTGGGGCCATAGGCCTATTCACTAAAAAGGAAACTGGTAGTACTGCACTTGGTACACCCCAGCTCGTGTTACACTCATTTAGAGACATTACAGCCCGTCCATGGAAATGAAGCAGAGCACAGAGGTTAAGATGGCAGCTGCAGAGTCAGACCACCAGAGTTCAAGTTTTGGCTCTACCATATGTTATCTATGTTTCTTTACTGTCTCAGTTTCCCCATCTGAAGAAAGGGAAAGATAACAGTACCAAACTCACAGCTTATTGTAAGGATTAAAGAAAATAAGCATATGCAGAGCATTCAGAAAAATGCTCACGTGGAGAGCGCTCAATAAATATAGGGTGTTATTTTCAAACAGACTCAACGGTTATTTTCAAACCTCTTCAAGGGGCTGCAGCTGTCCCTTCAGGTGGTCGATTTTCTCCAGTAACTGGTGCTCCCTCTTTTTCTGAAACTCTTCTAAATGCAAGGCTGTAAACAGTCTATGAACCAAGGATTTCATGTTTTCCATCTCAGTAGTGTGCTCACTATTCAGTTTTTCTGACAAAAGATACAAAGGAAACATAAGGAGTCATTATGTTTTTTTTTCTCTACAGTCTGTAAGTCCAGGAAACCAAATCTGAGTCCCCAGGGCTGGCCACTGTGGCTGATCCCCTGAGCCCTCTCAATTCCTGGAGCGGCATTTTGTATTGGCCTTTCTTCTGGTCTCAGGTTATTCCATTAGTCCCCCTCATACACAAACAATCTGGAATGATGAATTACGAGACAGTAGGTTTAAAACTCATTATGTTTTTGTTTGTCTTTTTTCTTTATAATATGACTTTTACCGTTTCTTTAAAAATCTTCATGCAGGAAGTATAAGGGGGATAACTATCTATCAGAATGCAGGTGAATACCTCACCTTAGTTTGTAACATATTAATTTATGGGCTCAATTTTCTACCTGAATGCAATCCAATATCCTTCCTGATGTCCGCCAACCATCATTTAGACAGAAAATGAACAAGGAAACAGCGGCCTTAAAAGATACATTAAACCAGATTGACTTAATTGATATTTTTAGAACATTTCACCCCAAAGCAGCAAAATATATATTCTTCTCAAGCGCACATGAAACATTTTCTAGAATAGATTACATGTTAGGCCACAAGACAAGTCTCAATAAACTTAAGAATACTGAAATCATATCAAACATCTTCCCTGACTGTAATGGTATGCAACTAGAAGTCAATTACAAGAAGAAAACTGAAAAACACCCAAACACATGGAGGCTCAATAACACACTACTAAACAATGAATGGGTTAACAACAAGGTCAAGAAGGAAATCAAAAGATACCTTAAGACAAATGAAAATGAAAACACAACCACCGCAAAACCTATGGGACATAGCCAAAGCAGTTCTAAGAGGGAAATTCATAGCAATACAGGCCTACCTTAAGAAACGAGGAAAATCTCAAAAAAAAAAACAATCTAATCTTATACCTAAAGGAATGAGAAAAAGAAGACAATCAAAGCCCAAAGTGAGTAGAAGGGAGAAAAAAATCTGAAAAGAAATAAACAAAATAGTTTTTAAAAAAAAAACACAAAGATCAATGAAACCAAGAGCTGGTTCTTTAAAAAAAAATCAACAAAATTGATAAACCTTTCACCAGATTCATTAAGAAAAGCAGAGAGAAGACTCAAATAACTAAAATCAAAAGTGAAACAAAAAAAGTGACAATTGACACTACAGAAATACAAAGGGTTATAAAAAATACTACAAACAATTACATGCCAATAAATTGGACAACCTGGAAGAAATGGATAAATTCTAATAAACATATAATCCTCCAAGACAATAAGAAAATCTGAACAGGTCAAAAACAATAAGAAAATCTGAACAGGTCAATAACTACTGATCAAATTGAATCGGTAATCAAAAAACTATCCGTAAAGAAAATACTGAACCAGGTAAATTTTACTAAACATTCAAGAAGAATTAACACCTATCCTTCTCAAACTATTCCAAAAAATTGAAGAGGAGGGAAGGCTATCAAGCTCATTTATCCTGATACCAAAACCATACAAAGACACTACAAAAGTAAAATGAAATTATAAGGCCAATATCCCCAATGAACGTAAATGCAAAAATCCTCAGCAAAATATTAACAACTTGAATTCAGCAATACATTAAAAAAATCATACATAATGATCGAGTGGGATTTATTCCTGGGATACAAGGCTGGTTAAATATCCACAAATCAATTAACATGATACATCACACAAACAAAATGAAAGATAAAAATCATAAGACCATATCAACAGATGTAGAAAAAGCATTTAACAAAATTCATCTTCATGATAAAAACCCTAAGCAAAGTGGCGATAGAGGGAATGTATCTCAACATAATAAAGGCCATATATGACCAACCCAGAGCTAATATCATGCTCAATGGGGAAAAGCTAAAAGTGTTTACCTTAAGATCAGGAACAAGACAAGGATGACCATTTTCACCACTTGTATTCAACATAGTATTGGAAGTACTAGCCACAGCAATCAAGCAACAAAAAGTAATAAAAGGCATCCAAATTGGAAAAGAAGAAGTAAAATTGTCATTACTTGCAGATGACATGATACTGTATGGAGAGAACCCTAAAGACTCCATCAAAAAACTAAATAATAAATTTAATATAAAAGGAGGATATAAAATTAATATTCAGAAATAGGTTGCATTTATATACACCAATAACCAACTATCAGAAAGAAAAATTAAGAAAACAATTCTATTTACAATTTCATCAAAAACAATAAAATACCTAGGAATACATTTAACAAGGGTAAAAAACCTATACTCAGAAAATCATTTAAGTCATTGAAGAAAGAAATTGAAGAAGACACAAATAAATGGAAGCATATACCATGCTTATTGATAGAATTAGCATCGTTAAAATGTCCATACTACCCAAAGCGATCTACAGATTCAATGCAATCTCTATCAAAATACCTATGGCATTTTTCAGAGACCTAGAAAAAATAATCTTAAAATTTGTATGGAACCACAAGACCCTGAATAGTCAAAACAATCTTGACAAAGAACAAAGTTGGAGGTATTCCACTACCTGACATGAAACTATACTAAAAGGCTATAGTAATCAGAACAGCATGATAGTGGCATAAAAACAGATATATAGATCAAGAGAATAGAATAGAGAACCCAAAATAAACCCATGACTATATGGTCAATTAACCTATCACAAAGGAGGCAAGATACAATGGGGTAAAGATATTCTATTCAATACATGGTGTTGGGGAACCTGTACAGATACATGAAACTATACCACTAGCAAAAGAATAAAACCAGACCACTTTCTTACTCCACATACAAGAATAAACTCAAAATTAAGTAAAAATTTAAATGTAATACCTGAAACCATAAAACTCCTAGAAGAAAATAAACACAATAAACTCTTTGACATTTCTCTTAGTAATATTTTTTGGATATGACTCCTTGGGCAAGGGAAACAAAAGAAAACATAAACAAATGAGACTACATTAAACTAAAAATTTTTACATAGCAAAGGAAACCATGAACAAAATGAAATGACAACCCAAATGGAAGAAGATATTCAAGAATGATATATTCAGTAAGGGGTTAATATCCCTAACACCAAGAAACAAACAATCTGGTTAAAAATCAAGCAGAGGACCTGAATAGACATTTCTCCAAAGAGCACATACAGTTGCCCAATAGACATATAAAAAGATGCTCAACACCACTAATCATCAGAGAAATGCAAATTAAAACCACAATTAAAATCACCTTATACTTGTCATGATGGCTATCATAAACAAATCAACAAACAGTAAATGTTAGCAAGAATATAGAGAAAAGAGAATCCTTGTGCACTGTTGGTGGGACTGCAAATTGGTGCAGCCACTATAAAAAAAAACAGTATGGAGGTTCCTCAAAAAATAGAACTACCATATGATACAGCAATTCCAATTCTGGGTATTTTTCTGAAGAAATCCAAAACACTAATTCAAAAAGATATATGCATCCGTATTTTCACTGCAGCATTATTTACAATAGCCAAGATATGGTAGCAACCTAAGTGTCCATTGATAGACAACTAGATAAAGAAGTGGTACATATATACAATGGAATATTACTCAGCCATAAATACAAATGAAATCTTACCATTTGTGACAACATGGATGGACCTAGAAGGTATTATGCTAAGTGAAATAAGTCAGAGAGAGAAAGACAAATACCATATGATTTCACTCATGTGTGGAATCTAAAAACAAAACAAAAAGAAACAAACTCATAGATAGAGAGGACAAACTGATGGTTGCCAGATGGGAGAGGGGTTGTGGGGAATGGGTGAAAAAGGTGAAGAGATTAAGAAGTACAAATCGGTAGTTACAAAATAGTCACAGAGATGTAAAATACATAGGGAATATAGTCAATAATATTGTAATAACTATGTATGGTGTTAGGTGGGTACTAGACTCACAGGGGCATCACTTTGTAAGTTATATAAATATCTAACTACTATGCTATACACCTGAAACTAATATAATGTCGAATGTCAAGTGTAATTTTAAAAAATTTTAAATATTATGTTTACAAAAAAAGGGAAGACATTGTGTTTGTTTTCAGATGACATGATTATCCATATAGAAAATCTGAAAGAATCAACAACAACACCACCAAAAATCCCTCTTGGAACTAATAAGCAATTATAACAAAGTTGCGGGATACAAGATTAATATATAAAAATCAATCTCTTACATACTAGCAATAAACAAGTGGAATTTGAAATTAAAAACACATCACTATTTACATTTTCACCTAAAAACTGAAATACTTAGGTATAAATCTAACAAAATATATACAATCTGTATACGAGGAAAACTACACAAGTCTGATATATCAAAGAACTAAATATATGAAGAGATATTCCATGTTCATGGATAGAAAGACTCAATATTGTCAAGGTATCAGTTCTTCCCAAATTTATCTATAGATTCAACACAATTCCAATCAAAATTTCATGCAAGTTATTTTGTGCGTATCAACAAAGTGATTCCAGGATTTATACGAACAATCAAAAGATCCATAGCCAACTCAGTATTAAAGAAGAAAGTAAGAGGATCGACACTACCCAACCTTAGGGCTTCTTATAAAGCTACAGTAGTCCAGACAGTATGGTATTGGCAAAAATATTGTCGAATCGATCAAGGGAACAGAATAGAGAACCTAGAAATAGACTCACATAAATATAGTTAACTTATCTTTGATAAAGGAGCAAAGGTAATCAATGGAGCAAAGACAGTCTTTTCAACAAATGGTACTGGAAGAACTGGACATTCATATGCAAAATAACAAATCTATATTCAGACTTTACACCCTTCATAAAAATTAACTCAAAGTGAAATATAAAATACAATAAAACTCCTAGAAGATAACATGGGAGAAAACCTAGATGACATTTAGATAAAATAAAAGGTACAGTCCTTGGACTTCATTAAAATTAAAAACATCATAAAAAAATAAATTTATTTTAAAAAATTTCATAATAAAAACGCATAAATAAAAAAAAAATTAAAAACCTGCATTCCGAAAGACAATGCCAAGGGAATGAGAAGACAAGCCACACATTAGGAGAAAGTTTTGCAAAAGAGATCTGATAATGAATTGTTATCCAAAACATACAAAGAAATCTTAACCCAACAATAAGAAAATGAACATCCTGCTTAAAAATGGGCCAAAGACTTGAACAGACACTTCACCAAAGAAGATATACATGGTAAGTAAGCATTTGAAATCATGTCAATAGACAATTCAAAATTAAAACAATAATGAGATATGACTACACTAGCTATTAGGATGGACATAATCCAAAACACTGATGAGAATGTGGAGCAATAGTAACTATCATTCACTGCTTCTGTAAATGCAAAATGGCACAGCCACTTTGGAAGAAAAGTGGCCAGTTTCTTACAAAACTAAACATACTCTTACCTTATGATCCAGCAATCATGCTCCTTGGTATTTACCCAAACGAACTGAAAACTATGTCCACCCAAAAACTTGCACACAGATATTTATAACCACTTTATTCATAATTGTAAAAACTTGGAAACATCCAAGAAGCCCCTCAGTTGGTGAATGAATAAAAAAACTGTGATGCATCCAGACAATAGAATATTATTCAGCACTAAAAAGAAATGTGCTATCAAGCCATGAAAAGACCTGGAGAAAACTTAAATTCATACTACTAAGTTAAGGAGGCCAATCTGAAAAGACTGCATATTGTATGGTTCCAACTGTAAAAGGTTCTGGAAAGGCAAAACTATGGAGACAGAAAAAGATCAGTGGTTGCCATGGGTTGGGGGAGGTGGAGAAATGAATAGGCAGAATACTGAGGATTTTTGGTCAGTGAAATGATTCTGTATGATACTACAGTATGGACAAATGTCATTACACATTTGTCAAAACCTATAAAATGTGCAACACCAAAAGGGAGCCCTAATGTCAACAATGGACTTCAAGTGATGATGATGTGTCAACGTAGGTGCATAGACTAACAAAGGGACCACCCTGGGGCTTGACAGTGGGGGAAGCGGTGGGGAGGGGAGCAAAGAGTATATAGGAACTCTGTACTATCTGTTCAATCTTACACATTTGTCAAAACCTATAAAATGTGCAACACCAAGAGGGAGCCCTAATGTCAACAACGGACTTCAAATGATGATGATATGTCAGCGTAGGTGCATAGACTAACAAAGGGAACACCCTGGGGCTTGACAGTGGGGAAGCTGTGGGGAGGGGGGAAAAGAGTATATAGGAACTCTGTACTATCTGTTCGATCTTGCTATGAACCTAGAACTACTCTAAAAAATAAAGTCTAATTAAAAAAGAATTAAGAACTGTACAACAATACACACTTGTGTTCATGATTTCCAGGCCCACTTCTTAACCCAATAATGTCAGATTAAGCATTCAAGTTCCTAAAGTGAAGCATTAAAAGTTTAAAAAGAATAGACGAAACTAAAAGCCTTCCTAGGCAACTTCTAATGATCATTTATTTACACCCCTGCTAGAAAAGCTTAGACATGGTTCTCCAAAGCCTTCTTGGTCTTTTGGTTATTTAAAAAGATTAAGACAAGGCTTCTCCCCATATATGCCCCATAGCTAAAGGGAAACACAAAGAGAGTTGCATAGCTGTGTTTCTTACCTTTCTTGGGACACCGTACATCATATGTTACTTTATTAATGACAACTTTAAAATCATTCATTAGCAAAATTTCCATCAAGGTTGAACCTGCAATCTCACTGCCATCTGAAAGAAAGTAATGCAAAAATATGTCCTTTTTTTAGAACAGTAAGAACCATTTTCCAACATATAGAGAACTACTAACCCAGGTCATTACAATATGGTAGTGGACATCTGCCATTTGGGGGGCTCCCCATACCCAATGCTGTTCCCACTGGGAGGTGTCCTCCCTTGTTCTACTATCCATTCCAATGGACCAAGCAGAGCAGGCAGGTGCTTCCTCTCTCTCCCTCTGTCAGCTGGACTGGGATCCAGACTGATGTCCCTGGTAAGACGACCGCATCTTCAGACAGTCATGCAAAGATTCAGGACAGGTGGGAACTCTTCACAGCAAGGCCAGAGCAGCTGAGGGGGCAGTTGTGGGATGGGGGTGTCACAGCAGAGCTCATGAGGCTGTTCCGGGGCCAACCGGGTCTCTGAGGTGTCCTCCCCCGGTTCCTGCCCTCTTCTGAGCCTGGCTTTCCATCAGTCACAATCTCAAGAGTCTGCTAACACACCCCTTGCCGGAGTCCGTTTCTGTTGCTTACAGCCAAGCCTACTGGTATGTACAGGCACACAGGGAGGAACATTTTCAAAAGCCTGCCTTGCTCTTGTTTTTAATTTTTAGAGGTGTTTGATTTGTTAGTTGAAACTTGGTGGCCAAACAGCACTACAAACTACCACACACATAGGACCCCTTGCTTTTCTAGCTTGGGAAACATGAAAAGAGGCAAAGCTGAGAAAGGTGGGGGTGGCAGGGAAAGTAACAGACATAATTAAACCTAAGGAGTAAATTTGCATTTCCGTGGTTTATTTTAGGAAGTGGGGATGGGGTGAGAAGTAGGAGAGATTCTAACAGGAATTAAAATTTCATAAAAACACTTCAGAAAAAAACCTCTCTTGGAAAATTTTAACCTCGGCGCGCTTTGCACAGCTTCTCATATAGCCTAGTTTGTGTTATTACACTTTTGAACTAAAGTTAATGTAGCCCAGGTGTTAAGAAAGCAAACTCACGGAACGAGATGCAAACAACTGGCTCTGGGTATGAGTTTCTCTATCATTACTCCTTCAGAACGGTCCCCTTATAACTACATGTTATGAAGTCCAGGATGAGAATGTTCTCCTGGCCTGCCATTTGCTTGGCTATATTCAACCAGAGCTATTTCAGCTATGTTAATATGCGCGATGGCAGAAATACTGCTAGTAAAATCAGGAAGCCCCTGGTTGCCTGCCTCCTGTCTGGCTCTTTGTAGTTCTTTTGTTCCAGAGGCAGTCAGTCAAGACTGCACCTGAGTCTGTTTCTAGAATTTGGCTGTTTGGGTTCCTGTTCATCAGTTGGGGTGAAATCATTTTCCCTGGAACTGCCAAATGATTCAACGCACACTATGGGCAAAACTGTGACAAGCTTAGAATACGCCTTTCATGCCCAAATTAAATGCAGGCAAATTCCACCCACAGAGCCTCATTTTAAAAAGATCGGCAACACACTAATCATTTTATCTGACTTAGCAAGTGTCATTTAAAAATTTACCTTTAAATGACTTCAAACCAGGTCCTTAAAATATTACTATAAAAACAACTACATATGATTTCTCAGTTGAAGTACTACATTATCCTTCATACTAATGTAAGAACAGCAAAAGATTGACGTGAAACACTTTGGAGAAGAGCTAATGATATCGTGTTGAATTTTTCACCTATCCTTGGGCAAGTATTCATTCAAATCCCAATAAAGTGTTTTCACTTGGTCTAAAAGCTCTCTTTCTCTAACATTTCAAGTGTTTTTATTTGTTTGTTTATGTTTCAAAGTCACTCAATTTTTAGAAATAAGCAGGGTATACACATCCATCATTGCTTTAACCTCTCTTATTTCATTCATTTAACAAGTATGTATTGAGTACACACTACCTACCAGGCAAGTACTGTGCTCAAGGTTTGCATCCACCTGCTCCTAGAAGCTTAGGAGGGCAGGCCCTGGGGAAGGCCCACGGGTGTTCAGTGCTCCTGTGACTCGGGGGAATGTGTCTAGTTCATTGGAACTAGATGGAGTATCAGGCCATTGTGGCCACAGGACTAAAACCCTATTCCCTGACTGGTTTTATCAGGAAGAAAGCTTCCCTTCCAGTTAAATATAAAGCCCTCACAATAACCTACAAGGCTTTCCCCAATCTGCCACTCACCTCTACTTCCACCCAGCTCCCTTTTTTGCAGCCAGAGAGTTGGCTCCCACCTCAGGGCCTCTGCCTGGAGAGGTCTTCTGCCCTCTACAGAGCTCTCTCACCTCTTCCAGGTCATCACTCAAATGTGACCTTAGGGAGCAAGCACCTCCCCCCACAACTCACACATTCTCCCCACCTCATTCTGCTTTATTTTTCTCCGTAACACTTATTATCTATTATTTTATATATTTTATTTCTTTACCTTGTTTCTTTCTCCTTTTAAAATATACGCTCCATAAGAGCTCGAGTTTTTATCTCTGTTTTTCTTTGCTCTACCACTCAAATGTGACCTTAGGGAGCAAGCACCTCCCCCCACAACTCACACATTCTCCCCACCTCATTCTGCTTTATTTTTCTCCGTAACACTTATTATCTAATATTTTATATATTTTATTTCTTTACCTTGTTTCTTTCTCCTTTTAAAATGTACGCTCCATAAGAGCTCGAGTTTTTATCTCTGTTGTTCTTTGCTCTACCTCTAGCAACTAGAACAGTATCTGGCATATGTTAGGCATTCAATAAATATTTGTTGAGTAAATAAATTCTTTAATCTCCATTTTTCCAACTTCTATATCTACCCTTTATTAGTTCTGAACTTGAATAGAGAAGAAGAATGCCTATTTCCTTTTCAAAATTGCAACAGTATCCAACTTTTAAATAAGTATTTTAATCATCTAATAGTACCATAAAATAACAATGCAAATTTACTCATTTACCTATCCATTGTGGCCTCTGTAGGTTGAGCTTGGGTAAACAATCATTTATTCTATTTTAGGAACAGTAGGTCTAAGACCATTTCAGACCACAAGGACATAAAAACTATATTTTAAATTTAAAATGTCTAAATGATTAACCACATGTGCTCGTATTAAAAACTATACACATATTCTTCCTGAGGAGAACTAATTCTGTCAAAAAACATACTAGACTGCAATTGCCTCATAACAAAGATAAATGCGCTGTTTGTGTATTTTAATTACTCACTGGCTATTTTAATCATTGAAACTGCATTTCATTTTATTATTCAAATTTTGCTGAAAATTACACATTGATGCCTGTGTCATTAAGATTTTTTCATAGAAAAGTTTTCAGGCTAAGTTTATGAAATAAAACTGCAACTTAATGGACTAATAAAATCTATTCCATTAATATTTATTCACCAGTTAATTTTTTTATATTACTGATTATAAAAATGAAGTACTCAGTAAAGACAAACCATTTATTATATAAAGTATTAAAGAATCAACTTCTTTCCAAAAAAGTAAAGAACTAAAGATTCAGAAAAAGAAAAAGACGGAGCTGAACAAAATATACATATATACCTGCTGTATTAAAGAATCAACTTCTTTCCAAAAAAGTAAATATCTAAAGATTCAGAAAAAGAAAAAGACAGAGCTGAACAAAATATACATATATACCTGCCGTGAAGATGGCTGCTGTTTTGACACCTTTATCTTCATTTTGTAGGTCCTGAAGGAATGAACCAACTGTTGATGACATGGGTTTGACTACAAACTGACAGCGCTCTTTTCTGGATGGCAAAGTAAGTGTTATCAAAGGAAGGCCATGTCTGTAACTAATAGTTATTTCTGTTAAGAAAAAGAATATAATGTAGAAATGGATAAATTTTACTTTATAAAAATAACTTTAAAATACAAAAATTCTAAAAGAAGTGCTTAAACGCGAAATTCATAAATCTGTAATCATTTGCATGGCTCTTATAGTGCCTTCACCATACTACGGTTTACTTATTTCCTCACCATTCTATGATGTTTTGTTATAGCACGTACCACACTTTATTATAATCATCTTAGAGTCTTCCTAGGTCAAGAGTTAAGCTCTTGAGGGCAAAAACTGCTTCTAATTCATCTATAATTCCTCTGACTGCTGGGTAGGAGATTGCCAAACGACATCAGAGATATTATAGGAACAGAAAGGGAGGAATTGAACAGAGCCAGGTATAGGGTGGCATGGGGTGGGGGAAACACAAGAAAAGTCTGTTTTGCTCAAAACTCATATTTCTCACCTTGTTTGGAAGAATGGAAATAAATTAGCATAGGAACCAAACAAAGAAGTGCTAAGAAAGCTTACCATCAGGTGGCACCACTGTACTATAAAGATGTGATTGACAGTATTTCAGATTTCCACACAGCTTCACACAAAAAACCTGCAAGAAAGATTATTTTTTCTTTTAGAAAAAAGGATAAAGTTAAAATAAGTATCTTTACCTGAAGATTCCTTTTAACCTTATATAGCAACAAGCACAATGAAAAATTCAGGTTCCCGTAGGCATCCAGGTAAGCCCTCAGAGAAGCTCACTAAATCTTTCCGGCTGCACGACAGCATGCTGCAGAGGTGACACCAGGACAGTGTTCTCAAGCTGAGGTGTGAGAACTCCTGAAAAACCTAGAGGTCCGTGAGAATTTTTAAATTGGGTCCTTCCTTTTAGGTGATCATCTAAAATAAGTGGATATAGTATATTCTGGATATTTGCCTCTCAAAGTACGGGCCCTGATCTGGAAGCATCAGCATGCCCTAGGAGTTGATTAGAAATGCAGAATCACAGACCGAGCCCGGAAGGACAGAGCTTGAATATGCATTTTAACAAGATCCCCAGGTGATCCTCATGCATGTTAGACGTTGATAAACACTGCTCTACTAGACTGTGTTGACCAGTATGGTAGTCACTGGCCGCAGGTGGCCATTTAAATTTAAATTTAAATTAATTAAAATTAAATAACACTAAAAATTCAGTTTCTCAGAGTCACCTTTGACCCATTTCAAAAGCTCCACAGCTCCCTGTGCTGAGTGCTACTGTATTAGACGGCACAGGAAGAGAACATTTCCATCACTGCAGAAAGTTCTGCTAGATGGTTTTCTGGTTTCTCTAGGGCATTTTGCTTGTGTTTTTCTACTTTTCATGAAAAGGTTTGTTTTAGTCTTCCTTTTCTACCACTTTAGAAACTGCAGATTGAGTGGTTTAAGTGTTTAACACGCAAACAGACTTCATTATAACTTTTCTAACAAAGTCTCAAGGTTTTCATTATCTTCGCCCTCGCCCTGTGCCCGACAAGGGTATTCACATGGTCTAGGGATCCGCTGCTAGGTCCAGAATATCTGAACGGTTGCCTGTCTGCGGAGCATGTTTTCAGAGTTTGCACTGGTGTCTGTAACTACAGTTGTACTGGCTGTTTAATACCAAAGGCCAAGTGACATCATGGTGCAGTCGGTGTGTGAACAGAGACAGAACTGGGGTGGCAGAAGGAAAGGGCGCTGAAGAGCCGGTTCACAGGCATCTGGAGCTCAAAAGAACTTGTGCCAGAGGAATTAGTACCAGAGTCACACCACGGTAGCTGTTTCATACTGATCCAGCTTTTTAAATGCATCACTTTGCAGTAGTTTATTAACAAACAACTTGCCAGCAATTATGCAATGAAGAATTCTTTTATAAATTGCATTTTTTAAGATTTCATTTGTATGAGGGTACATTATCAAATTTAAGTAATAAATAGTTAAAAATGCTTTCACTGCTAGAAAAAATAAAATGACATAGACTCAATGTTTCATTATGCTCAAAATCGAAACAATCTCATTAATAAGTAAAACATTCAAATACATATTTCTGGTGTTAAGCATAACCTAGGTAATTAGTTTCCAAAAAACATCACCTGTCACATTAACTTCAGACTGTCATTTGAATTTTATTTTAAAAATATAATTCACTACGAAGATGAGAAAAAACCTATTTCTTAAAATAGATGCAACTCTCAATAAATAAATATATGTCGTAGAGTTCTCCAAGTTTGATAATGGATATTACGATATTGTCTATTACTTTTTGTAAAGTTACATATAACTGAAAAAAATGGATTCATTTGAAAATTAATTCTCTACCAATATATGTCTTTTACACTATTTAATGATATAAATGATTCTCCATGTGTAAAGGCTAAATAGAAAAATGTAAGAGGTAAAAGTTAAAGCCCCTCCTTTTTCTTCTCTACAATTCCACAACTTTCCCCAGAGGTAATCACTGTTGGTGACAAAGACCCTCTCCTTGACCAAACTTTGGTCAGGCTCCTATAAGCCTCACTAAGCCCCATCCTTGGGCATGTTCTCCAACAGACCAGTTTTAGCAAGAATCTTGTCAAGTTGGTTTAGCCAGAATCCCCCACTGACACAGAGAAGAGGCATGAGAACTACACAAATTGACTAAATATTAAACCAAGTTGTATTCAGACCCTGCAATGTGCCCCTACGAAACATAGAGAAGAAAGGAAAATTTCAGCTGAGATTACTAACAAACTGTTTACCCATCCCTTAATGCAGCATACCCATATCATGAAAGGAAAACAGGAAAACAAAATCTTGAAGCTGTACCCTACACAATACAAACCTAACCTTTCGTTCCCCATGGCCAGACCACAGGGAACTTGCAGAACAAAGGCTGACATGCGTTTAATGCTGCATACCCATACCATAAAAAAAACAGAACAAAACAGGAACTTTAAGCTGTAATTCATAGAAACTACAAACCACATATAAAGTCTCATTCTCTGGCTCTCAGAGGAGATCATGTCTCTGTGTTACTGCTTCTCTAATAAACTTTACTTCTGTCTCTAACTCTGGCTTGTGCTTGAATTCTTTCCTGCATGAAGTCAAGGACCCTCTATCTTGGGAATAGGGCTTGAGTCCCCACTCAGGGAGATTCATCCCATCCTGCATCACCACTATCGGTACCTGATCAAATTCTTCATCCTCTACCATACTCCAGGTATCATTTGATCACCCTCATCTGCCTTCAGCAATAATCCTGTTAGCAAAGAATTTCCCTACCCTCTTAGTCATTTTCCATTCACCAAATACTCCCACTGTTTCTCAGATATAAATCCCCACTTTTTCTTGTTGTATTTGGAGTTGAGCCCAATCTCTCTCATCCGCTGCAAAACTGCACTATTGTGGTCCCCTGAATAAAGTCTACTCTCCTCTTCTTCAACAAATGTCATCAATAACTTTTCCTTTAACAATGGTTTGGTGTGTCTCCTTCTAGACTTTCTCTAAATATTACCATCTTTATATATGAGTTAAATTCTATGCTAGAGTCTGTATAAAGCTAAAGACAGTTGATGTGCCAGGCTCCTCAAAACTGACAATAATAATAATAAATCCTCATCATAAAGTACTTATCATTTAATGTGCAGTTTCTACTCTACTACAGAGGAATCATTTTAAGAGGCATCCACTAGACATGAGGAAATGCAGAGAGAAGGCAGAGTGGCCAGATAAAACTCTCAGGGCTTTCTCAAGTGTTTGCATGACTAACAATCGCCTGGGGGGCTTCCTTAAAATGCAGACTCATGGACTCCACCCCCCAGAGATTTTAGACCTACTAAATCTGAGGTAAGGATGTGAGAATTTGCATTTTTAATAAGCCCCAAGGTTATATGAAATTGCAGGTGTGAGGACCACATAAAGAGTAGCTGGGCTCTTGTGAACCCTCCTTGGCTTTCACGGCACTTAAATGTCTGCATATGATCATTTTTAATTCCAGATTTTAGTGCTGAGTCAAGGGTTACTGCCTCAAATGATACTCAGTATCAGGTCAAAAAGATGACTAAGGCTTCTTTCATCACGTATCTTTCCTAAATACAATTTTAATCACTCTGCACCCTTGCATAAAATCCCTTAGCCTTCAACATCTTATATGAAGTAGAAAGAATAGAGCCTACACTTGAAAAGAAGGGGATTCTAAATTCAATTCAGCCACTTAGTAGCTCAGAGATTGAAAATAAGTCATAGGACAGACCACCCTCTGCTTCCGTTTTCTCAAGAATTAGGTGGCAATAACATCTATGTTGTAAGGTAACATAAAGATTAAACAGAACAAAGTGCTAAACTCAGCGCATGTCTAGGAACAACTCACTTCTGTAGCTTTATCACTTACTGTTCCCTGAAGCAGGAACTTGAGCCCCAGGCGAATGAGATTGGTGTCATTAAAGTGATTTCTTTATCCACTTCTGCCTAACAAATCCTGTCATCCCCTCAAGGTCCAGCTCAAAAGCCATTTCCTCTTCCTGTGGGTCATGATGGTCTACTGCAAAGAGCACAGGCTTTGCCTTCAGAACCACGTTGGACTCCCAGCTATACCAGCTACTGTGATCTCTGACGGGCAGATGGTTCAGGAAGAAATGAGTTGTGAGAAAAAGAAGGGAACAAGCTTGGTGCGTGGGGGGCGGGCCGGGGTAGGAAGGAACCGGGGCTCTAGTTAGAAGACTACAGAAGAGAAAATATCAATATGGGAGAGATCTGTTTGAGCTTCAGAGTAAAAGGAAGATGGCCATTGGTAGAAAGATGTATAACAACCACACACTGGGGTCTGTTAACAAGATCAGGCTGCTTCCAGAGCTATGTCACAATTTAGATTAAATATCTTTATTACTATTAATAAAACAAAGATGCAATTTCCATTCAAGATTCCATTCAAGATTAAGAGAATCCTGAGCTCCATGTTCAAAAACAACATATGTATTTCCATGTACCAAAAACAAAAGAGAAAGCGGCACGGTGGCATGAGAGGACCCCAAGGTCTCCCCTTGAGGTTGCACCAAGTCGGAAAGCTATAATTCAATATAGGATTCCCTACTCGACACAAAAAATAGGTCTGAGACATCACGCAGAGACATCTGAAGGTGTAACCGCACACAGATTTCGCTTTCTTAAGGTAACTTTTTCTCTGATTCAAGCTGGCTTTGCCTAATTTACTGGCACTGTGACGGGTCTTTTCTGCTGGTATCCTTCCACGTTTGTATGTCTACTCCCTTAATCATTAAGCCTTAGGACATATGGTTCTGGCCAGTGTCAAATCTTTTAAGAATAAAGCAGCAGGTCTATGGACTATGAGAACAAAAAGTTTTAATGTAGGGAGGAGGCAAGAAAATAAAAATGTTAATCAAGCTACATTCAGAGACTGCAATATGCTGATCAGCCCTGCAGCCAGGCCAGCAGTTTTGAACAAAGGAGGATTTCTGCTGGGATTGCTAACAACTCATTTCCCCTCGCCTGTGGAAGGGGAAACAGGAACAACAGAGTCTTTAAGTGGAGCCCCACACAAATAAATTCATTCATTCCCTATGGCTAAAACCCTGAGGAATCTATGGATTAAAGGCT